TAAGCAACTGAACTGAACTGAAATGAGCTGTAGCATACTCAACTGGCATAAGAGAATCAGTTGGTGTGAAGGGGAAAGCTCCAAATATGGGAGTGACCAGAGACTGTTCTCCCTCTCAACCGTGAAGCCAGTGAAACTTCTGCTGCATAAGTTACTTCAAATTCACAGCCAAGTGTTTAAAATGTGTGATTTCTTATTGCTTTTCTCATACAAATTCCCTCAAACTGTGTAAGCTTCAGGTCCCACACAAAACCTGGTTATGCCTCTGCTGATTAGAAATGAGACACAGAACGGACAGAAGCTAGAGCAACATTCCTCCAAGGCTAGTCCCGGATCCACCTGCCCCAGAATCACCTGGAAAGCTTGTTAAAATGCAGACCCCCACTGCAGTCCATCTGAAGAGACTCTGACTGGGAATGTGCATGTTATCAAGTTCCCCAGGTGATCTTACCATGAAAACTAAAGGTTTCAAATTTTCAGTTTGGACTGCTGGCCAAGGCTTAGCAATGGTCTTTATAACATACTCTGTGGTCTCCTAGTAGCTTGTCAATGATCTCACATCCAAAATAAAATAAAGAGCCAGAAGGAGCTGGTCTTGGGAGAATTTCTCATCCGGTAGAGCTGGAGAAGTTTAATTTAAATGACTTTTTGCTCTTGAAGGGTTACCAAATATATCTTAAATTTGTTGAGGTAAAACCCTTAAAATTTGTGTGGTAAAACTCTCAAGTCTCTTGGCTCCATTCTTAATCAAGAGAACAATTCCAGACAGCACAAGAAAATTCTAACAGAGGCTGACAGTTGATCTCCTGTTCAATCACAGCTGGTCTTTCTCCATTTTCCTTGTCCCTACAGTCCAGGTGAAGAATAGAACCAAAAGGACATAGGAGAGATGATATTAATATAAGTGTTAGCACATGCCTTCATCACTGCGCACAGTTTCTTGAGACACTACACTGCTTCTTCCTTGGCCTTTTCTTTTAAAAGAAGTTGAGTTCATCATGTGGGAATGGGAGGAGATATTCTTGGAATCTTATGTCAAAACGATCCATGCAGTACCACGTGTTTAAGTACTATCTATACTGATTTGGGGAATGCTGGGAGACTTTAGCTAAATTATATCTCTTCTCTATTCCAAGGTGGGTGACCATTTCTGTGATAAGCAAAATAGTGTTGTGGTTAAAAATCTGGGCTCTCAAGTCTGACGGACAGGGGTTTAATTTTGCTTTGATAATTTTTTAAGTTGTATGACCTTGGTCTATATAACCTCTGTGTTCTCAAGGGCAAAGTAAGGATAACAACAAAATAAACCTTACAGGATTGTGGTGATAACTAAATGTAACAATCGACATAAAACACTTAGCTTGTGCGTGCATGCCAAGTCCCTTCAGTCGTGTCCAACTCTTTGGGACCCCGTGGACTATAGCCCGCCAGGCTCCTCTGTCCATAACATTTCCTAGGCAAGAATATTGGAGTGGGTTGCCATTTCCTCCTCCAGGGGATCTTCCGGACCCAGGGCTCAAACCCATATCTCTCATGTCTCCTGCGTTGGTAGGTGGGTTCTTTACCACTAGCGCCACCTGAGACAGCTTAGCTCAGCACCCAGCAACAAGGATTACTGTTAGTGAGCTCTGCCTCAAGGAAATGGCAACCCACTCCAGTATTCTTGCCTGGAAAATCCCATGGACAGAGGAGCCTGGTGGGCTATAGTCCATGGGGCTGCGAAGAGTCAGACACGACTGAGCAACTAAGACAGACAGATCTCAAGAGTGGGCTGAAGGAGTTCCCAATTGCCTGATGGGAGCAGAGCTTCTGTGTTAGCTATCTGTGGCTGGGTAACAGACTGCCACAAACCTTCTCATTGTCCCACACTCTTTCTGAGGATCAGGGATCTGGAAGCCGCTTAGTTGGGTAGTTCTGGCCCAGGGTCTCCCAGAGGTTGCAGTCAAGCCTGGAGCCACAGTCATCTAAAGGCTTGATGGGGTTTGGAGGATCAGCTTCAATCTCCCTCAGAAGGCTGTTGGCAGTAGGAGTTAGTTAGATCCTTAGCATGTGTACCTTTCAGTAGGACTGCTCACAACACAGCAGCTGACTCTTCCTAAAGAGAAAGCAAGTGTGACCAGGAAGGACCACAGTGCCTTTTATAACATAATATTAAACGTGACATACCATAGCTTCTGCTGTATTCTGTTGGTTACACAGACCAACCCTGTACAGTATGCACAAGTCTGTGAATACCAGGAGGCAGAGATCGCTGGGGGTTTTCTCAGAGGCTGGCTACCCCACCTTTAAATAGTTTTCCTGAGAAATGCCACAGATGCTCTTTTTTTTTTTTTTTTTTGGCTTTAATTTTAGAGCTGAGAGGCTTTGAAATGATTATAGTGGTTTATAATCTACCGGCAAATGAAAGGCATCCAAGCATCAAGATAAATGTCTGAGTGGGGTCTTCTAGCCACTTGAAAAACATGTGGCTCCACATGCTAAAGAAATCCACAGCTGACTTGAGTAAAATCTTGACTATTAAATATTCCAGCCCTGCACTTTCACAAAGTGCAAAGGATAGAAGTTGTCTCTCTGTGTTAACAAGTAAGAATGGTTAGCGGATAAGTCATGGTTTACAAATCTGTATTTATGATTGGGGTCTGGCTGACAAACAGCAAGAATAAACCATACAACCTGGGGAGTCCAATTCCAGCAGGAAGTTGCTTTGAAATAACATCATACTTCATTCACTCCCCAAATGATGTCTTTGACGACCAGTTTGGACACATCGATAAAACATCCTGTCACTTACCATATTTTATTTTCTTGCAGCATTTCCCACTGTTTGATGGTAACTCTCACAGTGCCTGTTCTTACAACAGAATCTACAGTCTGATTTAGATTTGCCAAGTAGATTGCTTTTGGCCAAATTTCTTGTCCAAACACAGGTCCTTATGGTTTGAGAGTTCCCACTAAAAGATCCCTAAAGAAAAATATGCAGTTTTACTGGCTCGGATTTGTAGCTCCAAAATTTAAAAGAAAGCGGCTGGTTAACATTATACACGTTTTGAAGCACTTGTCTTTCAGAAATGCAAAGAACAATAGCAAGGAAAGCCTTTGATGGCTCAGAATTTATTTTATTTTATGTACTTATTAATTGGTACACTTTCTCCCCGATTTTAACCAAAGATTCTGTACATTGAAACAATAAAATAAGTAAAGACATGTGTCTGCTTTAAAAAAATCTCAATTCTGGTTAAGTCTCAGAGTCCTTTTCCATGCTTTCTGGGTAAAGGCTCTTTCTGTTCTCTCAGCCCTGCAGCACTTTGATCTCAGAAGCAGTGCCATTTGGTTGTAAATGTATGTGGCGCCTTTGATCTAGTACTTAGCTGGTCTTATTTAAAATAGATAACTTCTTTTATCTAAGTAGTGTTTACTAGGTCTCGCTCTATGAAAGATGGTTTAAATTGCTATTATTTAGATAGAAAGTTATATAAAGTTTCATAAGAGTGCCCAGATCTGAATCTAATTCTCTAAATTCTAAAACCCCAATGGCATTATTATATGTTTCATACAGCAAATTCTTGTTAAAATGAGCTGATTTTACAGATGTCAGGTAATATTGCAAAAACTTTGTTTGCTTTTTAACGGGGAACTGATTTTCCAAAGAATAATAAACACACCCTACACTCGGGCAAAACTAGTACTCTTAAAGCGCCTGAACTAAAAGGCCAATTTTCCCCTCTGCAATTCACATATTAGTATATTTTTCTATCACTGGATTATGAATACAATAAAGGGTATGTTGAAATGGGACTTTTTAAAATGAATAAGTGTATATCTTAAATTCTCTTCTTTAAGAGGATTTCTTAAATACTTTGTCAGGCGCTTAAGTGATGGGTGCTTTCAATTTCCTAGGCTATATTCAATTATCCATTCAACAAACTATGTCGCAGGTGCAAAGACAGAGAGTTGCTTAAGTCAAAGGCCCCGTCCTTAGGTTGCTCACAGCCTGGGCTTGGGTGGCAGAGCGCTGGTGGACAATTGCCCTTCAGTGTGGTGTGTGCCTCTTATGGATGCGGCTCCTCCTAGCCTGCAGGTGGGAGTGGTCAGGGAAAGTTTCCTGGAAGAGGTGGTACCCAAGCTTCAGTGAAAGACTGCTGACTCAGAATTCAGTATCCTGTAAATTTCCAGCCAAATCCATAATTGCAAAGGCACCTCTCCCAGTCTCCACACCCCTGGTTTAATGCAGGTGGTCTAAACCTTGAGAGAGGTCTAAAGCTTGAAGGGCTTTGCTGCCTGAAGCTACCTGAAAGGCTTTCACAGCAGTCACTTGGTCCTAACCTGAAGGTTAAAAAACATAAGCCTGAGATACTTACCTAAGACGCTGAGGTACAGAGTGCTACCATGTGCTGGGTATTCTCAGTGCTTTCTCTATCTTAATGAGTTGAGCCTATCCTCAACCCTACGACACGGGGACCACTATTATTCCCATTTAGAGAGGAGGAAATTGAGGCACAGAAAGACTAGTTTGTACCTGGTTTTTCAGCTACTGAGTTCCAGAGTTGGATTCGGAACCCAAGGAGTCTGACTCCAGAATATATGTTTTTAATTATTGTGTTAAACATGTCTCCCATTTTCCTTCGTTCCTTACTTTCTTTTCTCTGAAATAAAGATTTGAGGAGGGCCCTGGTAATGAATGCAATCACTGAGCACGGAACAGTTGCCATGATTACTTTTGTTATTATTTATTGACAGAGTGTGAAAGCCTCTCATATATAGGCATTCAGTGACTGTGAAATAAGAGAAAAACATGTGAAGACTAAGCGAGACATTTGCATGGGCTCTGGGGCTGCAAGAACGTCTGCATGATCATCAAGGGGATTAGCAATGGCTATGGAAGAATCCATGCAGACAGTACATGTATAAATAGAAATAAATGTGCAGAGACCCATTGGGTCGGGGCGCAATGATGAGATGCCGGATTCTTGAATGACCCCTTTCCTCCTTCCCTTCTTAAGTGCTGCTTAAGTAGAGCTGAGGCCAGACGGGATGCAGCTAAAGTAGCCCTAATCAACTCGCTCTTCAACGAGCTGCCCTCTCGCCGGATCACCAAGGAATTCATTATGGAGAGTGTGCAGGAAGCAGTTGCCTCCACCAGCGTGAGTACCCACCAGGGAAGCAGGGAGCTGGCTGAACAGAGTACTGAGGCCTTTGAATCTTGGGAGATGCTAATGCGGACGAGTTCTTTAGGACCTGGTGCAGGTTTATTTTTAACCCATTAAATCATTAATTTTCAGCAAAGAGAGCACTTAGACTGAAAATCATGTGATATTGGGGCTGGCTTCCTATCCACGTCTCAGCAAGATTCTTTAGCCTTCCTGGATCACAATTAATCGAGCTGTCTGTCAAAGTGGATCGAATTATCCATCTTGATTTGTTTATTTGGGTGTTTGCTGTTTGAGGAGCGCTGATTCTTTTAGGGCCTGAGGATGCATGCAGTTGAATACCGCTTTAACCTAGACATAAAGAAGTTCCGTTTTTCCCAAACTGGACTAGTCATAAAAATTATCTGAAGCACTTGTTAAAAGTGCCAATTCCCCAGCCAGCATGAAGTCCTGCACTCTGCTTTTAGGGAAATACTAACTGCTTGAAGTGAAGTGAAGTGAAAGTCGCTCAGCTGTGTCTGACTCTTGGCGACCCCATGGACTCTACAGTCCATGGAATTCTCCAGGCCAGAATACTGAAATGGGTAGCCTTTCCCTTCTCCAGGGGATCTTCCCAACCCAGGGATCGAACCCAGGTTTCCCACATTGCAGGTAGATTCTTTCCCGGCTGAGCCACAAGGCAAGCCCACTAACTGCTTAGCTATGAGAAAAACTGTATGCCTATTATCTGTTAGATGTTAGAGTTATCACACTTAATATCAATTACTTTATTCCAAGAGCTCTGGAAATTTCTGTAATAGATGTAATTAAACGCAAAGTGCTTTGAGAGCCAAACTATGTCTTAGAAATTTAGACAGGACATTTTCTCGCCAATCTAGGAGTAGATTATTTGCCCCATGAATTATTTGGTGCTTCTGATCCTTGTACCTCCAAACTATAAACCATTTTCACCATGGAGGAAGCCTTGGGTCTCAACTGGGGCAGGCATCTCCCTATGTGTCCTTAAAGTGCAGAAACCAAAAGGCATTACCAAAGAGATAAGCTACCTCCTGCTTCGCCTTTAGCATGGATCAACCCTATCTGAGAGTTTCCTTCCCTGATTCCCTTAATCTGACTATGCAAGTCAAGGTTCTGTTATTCTGGAGAAGCTACCGATAAGGAAGGTGACATTATCACACCAGCTGTGACCTTTTTTTGCTGCCTCCCCCCCTCATAAATGCTCTTATCACACAGAGAAGTGATGAGGGGAGAGAGGCAGGGACTGAGAGTGGTTGTCCTGGCAGAGAGACTTCAGGGAGCTCTGGTCTGTCTCTGCTCTGAGGATGAAAGGAAGCCTTTATTTTTCTGCCCTGTAAATTTCAAGTGCCTTCGAGGAAGAGAAGTTAGGGAAATGATGCCTGATTTATATGTGTGGAATTTACTCAGGAGCAGGGAGGGGTCCTCAGTGTAAATGTAATTTATCATTTTTTTCATGGAAATTTCTAAGGAAGGAGAATATATATGGTTCATAGGCTTCTGGATGGATTTCCTCTGGGATATTTAAAAAGCCAACATAAATATTTCGGCAGTAGTGTGTTAATGTTATTGCATTCAAAAGCTATAAATCTGCGGCTATCTGATGCTGGCTGTTGTTTGTTCAGTCTCACAAAGCCATTGCCCACCTTCCCAGGAATCCAAGGCCGTGGGATATGGAAGGGCAGGTCCCAATGCCATTCCAGAGCTCATGTTAGCTTTTTTATTGACACTCCCCATAACCAAATATTGAAGCAGAATTTCATTTTTTCCCATCACCCACCCACCTTGTTTGTTAAAGATTAAGTCGTCCAGAATTGAAAAAATATAAGCCAAAATCCATGTCTCCAGGTTGAACACCAGCCTATTATGAAAAGCTCCCATTGAAAATCATGGTGGTCAAACATCCACATGAATCAGCCATAGGTGTACGTGTCCCCTCTCTCTTGAACTTTCAAATTAAAAAATAAATAAAATTTTTAGAAAAAGATTCATGGTGGTAAAATATGAATGGTCCATACAACTGGAGAATTTTTTCCCTGTTAGTTACATAATTTGCTTGGTGATCACTAGAATCTTATGAAGCAAGTTAGCATTTCAAGATTTCAATAATGGATGAAAACAGCCTCAAAGGGCAACCACTCATTAGAGTGGCATTAATGCCACTACCAACAAAAACTCTATAGAGATGTGGGAATTTCTGCTTTAATATAATTATTCTTTTTGAGTATTTAATCAGTTAACATTTTAACGAAAAGCTAGATTCAAATTGACTTCAAAAATCCTCTTCACTCTGAGAGATGGTGAGATTAAGGCTTTTATCCCAAATCAGCTGGAGATGGTTGTAAAGACTGCACACCTGTAGGGTTAGAACCACAGGAGTTTCACCATGGGGCCACAGGATTCATTCTTGACCCCCAAAGAAGAGGAAAAATCCGTGATACTTTGCTTTTCTGCTTCCTTCCCAAGGGCACTTTGGATGACGCAGATGACCCGAGCACCAGCATTGGAGCCTATCACTACATGTTGGAGTCAAACATGGGGAAGACCATGCTAGAGTTTCAGGTACCTGCCACACGTTTATTTTGCTACACAGCCCCTAGAAGCCTGGGGGAATGCCAGTCTGATCACAAACAGCTCTTTGTTTATTTCAGTCATTTAATTTAGCCCGCTTAGAATCCAGCCCTGTAACTCTCTTCTGGCAGCACTGCAGTAGGCTAAGACAAACAAGTCAACAAGGCACAATCTTTGCTTCTTCAAGGAAAGTAGAAGACTTAAGCTAAGAAACAGGTAGGGAACATGACCATCTTATGACCCTATTAACACTTCACCAGCTTTTCAGTATAAAGCTCCCCTTTAAATCAAATCAAACAGCTTGAAATACTGGTCATGACTATTTGGTTCTTAATTTTCAGAAGTTATAGATGAAGGTGACTGCAATGTATATTAAACAATTTTCCCCTCCATTATGGTATTTTTGTAAACAAGATCTGCCATCTCCTATCATTAAGTAAATAAAAAAATTTAGCAAGCTGTAGCTGTTTTCATTCCACTGCTGATAAGCAATAACAGAGCTAAGGAACTCTATTACCTATTATTTGTAAACTAATTATACTAGCAGTAAGAAGAAGAATAGCTTACACTCACTGGATGCTTACCTTCTCTGGCACTGTGTTAAGCATTTAACAAGTCTTACCATAATTTAACCTTCACAAAAACGTATGAGTATTTATTATACACATGTCATCATTGAAGGAAGTATGTCATACAGCTTAGTAAATGGCACAGCCTGGGTTCAGACCCAGGCAGTCTGATTCCTGAGTTCACATTTTGACTATTATCCTATATTGGGCTCGATGGACAAAAATTCAATAGTGGTTGAGAATGAAAAGTATGCTCTCTAAAAAATTAAATTTGAATACAGTTGATCACCCACATACATCAATGCTACTAAGAATCAATATGCAGTGTTATAACAAGGAGACTTTACCTCCAAGATTTCTATTATTTTAGGTTAGATTCCAAGAAGCAATCAGAATATAAAGTTTTATGGACAAAAATGTTCATTGTGGTATAATTTACAGTGGTGGTATAGCTGAACCCTAAAGCCAGCTTTCAAATACCATCTTTGGTACTTTTCAAACTCTTTTCCTGACTGCAAGGCCACAGCCACTTCTCAGGTGGATATGTCCATCCTGCCCATTTTAAAACTCATTAATTTTACTCACCATTCTCTTGTTTGATTGAAGCAAAAATGCTCTTTTTTCATCCTTTCCTAGGAAGATCTCAGTCATCCAGATTTCTCCTTAAGCAGTTGTGGTCTCAGTGACATTTGATGTTGCTTGTCTTGGTTTGCAAAAGACCTTGAAGCTCACCTTCTGGTGTAGACAGCCGCTTGCAGCAGCCAGTAGTTCTCAGCCCTGGCTGGGGAGTGGGTTCAGCTGCTCACCTCTAAATCTGTTTCCTCATTTGTACATAAATCAGGAAGAATAAGAGTGTCAATAATAGCAGTGCTACCTCACTGTGCCATTGTGAAGATTAAACGAGACTGCATAGAGAGTTCAGAACAATTCCGGGCATATGGTAAATGCTCAGTAAAAAATGACAATTGATAGTATATATATACATTTCTGAAGAAGGACTGCTTTACTTGAAATGCCAGAGGTTACCAGATGGATTCCCTTGACAGCTTTATCTAACCTAAAGTCTTCAGATGAGGATAAGGTAGCTTCCCAGCAAAAAATGTTTCAGGGTCCTGGGTCTCCTGCATTGCAGGCAGATTCTTTGCCAACTGAGCTATGAGGGAAGCCCTGCTATAGAATACAAGAGTGAAACTGGCAAGAGTCCTTTTTTACATCCCATAACAATCTAAGGCCAGACAGAGGAAACAAAAGGGAGGCGCGTGACAAAAGAGGAGGAACACAAACTAAAAAATCATACAGATCCAAGTGCCAAGCCTGTTCTACCACTTGTCACCTGTGAACTCAGCCATTCTGAGACTCAGTTTTTCTCATCTACAAAATAAGAATCATGATGTCCATTGTATAGACTTTTTGTGGGACTTATACAATGTGACATTTATAAAGCATTTAAGAAAATCATTTAATTTCTCCTCTCTCCCTGATAGAAGAGTATTGTACTTTTTTTTTTCTTACAGAATGAATGTTGCCTGGCCCAAAACATGGTAGCTTGTATAGGATTTAGTAACTATTTTCAGAAAAACCAAGAATGATTTTTTTTGAATGCAGTGGGTTAGTCTGCCAAATATAGGGAAGGCAAAAAAAAAAAAAAATTTTTTTTTTAAAATTCTGTCCAAGTACTGTGAAAGGTTGTACTCAACCACCTTTTAATGATACTGTTTTTTAAAATTGCCTTACTATGGGGTGCATGTTTTCTGTGTGGTCTGCGTAGTAAGGTATTTAAGTATGTGAAATAATAATTTGACTCATATTGTGGAAATGCTTCATAAATTCTCATAAAGGAGGCTGGGTGCTGGATGAGAGACAGAGGTAGAGGAAGACATGAGGGCAGGAAAAATCCAAACTCCCTCCTCCCAGTAGGGATGCTGGCAACCCACAGTGAGGGCCATGCAGCACATCCCTCTTCCTTCCTCCAGCCCAAGGTCGCCTGCTGGTTCCTGCACATTCCTCCGTGGCCTGGGTTAAAGGCATCAACTTGTTTCTGCGCATAATGGGAATTGACCACAGGCCTGGGCTGTTTGCAGTCAACACAGCAATTCAGTACCCCTGGCGGATAATAGATGTGTGTTTGTATCTAGCTACGGTTGACTATACAGTCTAAAAAGGAGACTGGTGTCTCCTGACTGCCCTCGGGCTTTCCAGGGGGGCCGTCAAAGAGGCAGAGCTCAGGAGAAACCTGATAGGCTTCTGCTTACCTTCACTTCGTGGGCGGGAGGCTGGGGTGCCTGTTTAAGGTAGCCTTGCCTCTCTCTGTAGAGAAAACTGCCTCATGTTTGTGGGGGTGGGATGGCGGCAGCTCTAGCCACTGGGTCTTGTCAAGGTCAGATTCAAGGCAGACTTTGACTGAAGCTGGTTAATATATTTATTCTGAAGCCTAATGCAATCCAAAGACGAGCTGTTTATTTACATCTTTGCTAAGTTCTCCAGGTCGCCTTTTAAAACCTCATCCCATAAACAAATTTCCTGTTAAATCCATTCTCTTGGGTGGGGAGATGGTGCCCACCTGTTTTTCAAGTTCTCCATTTACACTGTTTGTTTTTCTTATTTCTGATGAATCACAGAACCAAGCCAGTCTCCCAGACAGAGTTCCAGGGAGAAGCAGCGTTCATTCTCTCCCTGTGAAGTAGCTGGGAGGCCAAACGTTGTTTCTCGTAGGAGGCAACACCAAGAAGCTCTGTGAGGACAGACCCCAGTCGTTGTCGGCTTAGATTTAATTAATGACAACATGAACCAGGAAAGCTGTAGAATGAAAGCTACAACTGCAATGTTCCTGAAGAGAAAGAAAACACAGGACTCGAGTCACCATTTGATTTCTAATTTACTTATGGGCCTCCCTGTGGCTCAGACAGTAAAGAATCTGCCGGCGGTGCAGGAGACCCAGGTTCGATCTCTGGGTCGGGAAGATCCCCTGGAGAAGGAAATAGCTTCCCACTCCAGTATTCTAGCCTGGAGAATTCCATGGCTAGAGGAGCCTGGTGGGCTGCAGTCTATGGGGTCACAAAGAGTCAGACACAACTTAGCAACTAATACTTGGTAAAGGGAACTGGCTACACATTTTATGGGGCCTGGTGCAAAACGAAGGTTTAAGACCTGTGCTAAACCAAGCTCGAAGCCTGTGTGACTATACAGATCATAAGCTCATGAAACCGCCCTTGTCCCTGAGACAAGATCCCCAGAAGAGCCCGGACTAGGGTCAGAAGAGTCAAGCGTTCAACTGGGGTTCAAAATTTAAAGGAGCATCAAAAAATTCAGTAATCAAGGCAAATAATATTATAATGCAATACATTTAAAACTCAACATAAACGTGCAAAAACCTATGACAAACGAAAAATAAAGGTAGGATTTTAAATAAAAGACCCTGAACTTGTACAACTCACCTTAAGTCTTGCTTCAATCACCTGGCCCCAGTCTCAACCCCACCTCTAGACCAGCTTCTTGTTTATTTGTCAGCCCATGCAGAGGAACCAGGCTTCTAGATCAGCCCACGTGACAAACACAGCTCAAAGACTTCAGTGAGGAAGAAGCAGGACAGACAGCCCACCAAAGAGACTTCATTCAAAACGATAGGCCTTCAACAAGTGGGAAAACAAGGCCGAGAAGACCAGGCAGTGAGGAGTCACAGGAAACTAGGAACCGAGTCCTCACGGAGGCCACAGCCACCCTCTCCTTACCAGTCTCATAATGCAAGGATTTCCCATGCAATCAATGAGAAGCGTGCAGAGATGTCCTGGGGTTGAGCCAGGGTTCACACAGCTTCAGGAAGACCTGAAGATAGTGAACTTGGTCAGTTCAGGTCAGTTCAGTTCAGTCGCTCAGTTGTGTCTGACTCTTTGTGACCCCGTGGACTGCAGCACGCCAGGCCTCCCTGTCCATCAGCAACTCCCAGAGTTAACTCAAACTCTTGTCCATTGAGTCGGTAATGCCATCCAACCATCTCATCCTCTGTCGTCCCCTTCTCCTCCTGCCTTCAATCTTTCCTGACATCAGGGTCTATTCAAATGAGCTCTTCGCATCAGGTGGCCAAAGTATTGGAGTTGCAGCTTCAGCATCAGGCCTTCCGATGAATATCCAGGACTGATCTCCTTTAGGATGGACTGGTTGGATCTTCTTGCAGTCCAAGGGACTCTCAAGAGTCTCCTCCAACACCACAGTTCAAAAGCATCAATTCTTGGTCATGTGAGGGGAAATAAAGAAATGGGACAGGGAGAATGTGGAAATATTTCAGTATACTTCATATGACGATGGTAAGATTCATTAGCTCCAGAGAGGAGGGCAAACACAGACAAAGTAAGAAGGTAAAAGAAGGTTATCTTTCCTGGGGGATTTAGGGACAAGAGCCGCAGTGAAGAAGAGGCTGTTGTGTTACAGCAGAGGAAACAATTGCTTGATGATAGGATAGAAATTTAGACAAACCAGAGGGGGTGAAGAGGATAATCCTCCTCCTGCAGACAAAAACAGCTCAAGTCTCGGTGGGGAAGTTTCATGAGAGGCGTAGGTTGCCAAGGGATATGAGAAAGATTCCCAGTTCTGTTCAGAGAATCGTGGGTTCCACAGTGTTAGGAGGGTTGCTGAGTGATGCAACAGAAATTTATCTGGATCAGGGGCTTGGCACATAGGTAGGAACGAAAGCTTAGGGACATTGGAGGAAAAATATATTATGAAGGCAACAGTTATCAGAGGATGGAATTAAGAGCTCTGTTAGCAATAGGTTGTTTCTCAAACTGGGCCACATGGATGCAAGGATGATGCCAGGAGGGTCACTGAAGCCACAGAATAAATTCAGTACATCTTTCTGGGTTGTCGACGTTACATGAAGATTGCAGGAAAAGGAAAGGAGTGGAGTGGCATTCATTTTCTTCTTTAAGGAAATGGACATATACAATAAAATACATAATTTGAGTCTTACAATAAAACATCATAAAACATTTGTCAATATTGTCCCTCCTGTAACACTATGGAGAGTACTTCATAGCAGAACCTAAAGATCATTCCTAGCCACTTTTTTGTCCACAAAGCATTCAGTGAGTAGGCCTGAGGGGATAGCAAGGGATAGCAACACAAGTTTACCTTCCTCAGCCACTGGGGTTATCTTGATAAGGGGCATAGTGTTGGGAGCCAGATTAGATTATGGATTTGGTTATGGAACAAAAGACTCTCTCTTTTGCAAAGTAGCATAGTGATGTGACAGAGTGGAAATCTGGATGGGGGCAGAGAGAAGTGGAGAGGAATCATAAGAAGGGTGAGTTCCCTTGGCACTGGACCGAGGACCCTGGGCAGACATGGGGTCAGGGTGTGGCTCAGCTGCTGTCCACGTCATGTTTTAATTAATGGAGACACATGGTTTTGCTTTTCCCAAGGTCTCTGTCTGTTCTTGGGCTTCCTTGGTGTCTCAGACAGAATCTGCCTGCAGTGTGGGAGACCCAGGTTTGATCCCTGCGTTGGGAACATCCCAACCCACTCCTGTGTTCTTGCCTGGAGAATTCCACGGACAGAGGGACCTGGCGGGCTACGGTCCATAGGGTCGCAAAGAGTGAGACACAACTGAGCGACTAACAGCGTGTGTTCTTGTGATGCTCACTGTGTAGTAATACATACACAAAATCCCAAACCAAAAAGAAGAAAAGCATTACATTCTAATGGCAATTTAAACGTGAGAACAGTGCTATTCAGACACGAGAATATTTGTTCTGATAATCTTATCTCTTTAAATTTTACCTCATAATTTTAAGGTAACCGTAATCTCAAACTGAGCTTATGTCTCCAGATTTCATAGTGAAAACATTTTCCAGAGCAAGCAGACATAAAGACAAAAGTCCACTTTGTTTTTGAATGGGGATAAGACATCTGTTCAAATGTTAAGCTTTCATAACTTGTCTCATGACCACGAAGTTCCTTAACTGTATTGTTATTTTCCAATAGGTATGTGGCTGTGGTTTGTACTACCACTAATCCACTGTAGATGTTTCTCTGATCAAAAAAGAAAGAAAAAAAATGCAGGTAACTTCAGTGTTACTGTTACTGTTAAGTCACTTCAGTCGTGTCCGACTCTGTGCGACCCCATAGCCGGCAGCCCACCAGGCTCCCCCGTCCCTGGGATTCTCCAGGCAAGAACACTGGAGTGGGTTGCCATTTCCTTCTCCAATGCATGAGAGTGAAAAGTGAAAGGGAAGTTGCTCAGTCATGTCTGACTCTTCGCGACCCCATGGACCACAGCCTACCAGGCTCCTCCGTCCACGGGATTTTCCAGGCAAGAGCACTGGAGCGGGGTGCCATTGCCTTCTGGAAGCCCGCTAATCCTAATCAGATTGGAAAAACAAAATCTTCAGTATGTTAAACACATGCTAGATTGCACTCGGTATCAGGGTGGGAAAGGATGATGTTGATAGAAAGGCTAAATGCTGTGCTCAGCCCTGGCCGTTGAATGTGAAAACTGTGGGTGGGTTTAATGTCAATTCATCCTTAATGGTCATATTTTAAGGCATTTTCTTGACTGAATTTATAAACTCAGTGGTATTTTACAGTTTCTGTAGTTTGTTCATTGTATGCTCTATATTTACTTTTTGGCCTAAATTTTTTAAAATTTAAATTATTTTCATATGGCATATTGTCACATGGTTCAAAGCTCAAAAGGAGCAAATGAGTGTCAGAGAAAAGTCTCCCTCCATTTTTCTCCCCTGAGGCGACTCATGTTCCCAGATTCTTTTGTATCTTGTCAGAACTCTTCTAGGCATTTATAAGCAAATATTTATAGGCATCTTCTAATTCTTACTCAAGTACTAGCACACAGTTTACATGTTGGACACCTTGCTTTTAACACCTCACAGAGACTCTTTATGTTAGAACGAGAGAGCCTTCTCACCCTTTGTGATTGCATTGTATTTGGTAGGATGACCATGTTGTAAAGGAGGAAGGATCATTTTCTTTTATCCTTCTGAATTCTTAGCTGAGACTCCTGTAATGAAAGGCAGATTAAGAAGAGAAAAACAGAAGCACACCTCATGTATATGTGAGAGATACTCAGGGAAAAATGAGGAACTCCACAGGTGGCTTAGAATTCAGGATTAAATACCATCTTAAACGGAAGGGAGACGGGGTGTGGGCCTCTCAGGAAAGCGCACATGTGCCTGCTCAGCTGCTCAGTCATGTCTAAATCTTTGCAACCCACGGACTATAGCCCACCAGGCTCCACCGGGCTCCTCTGTCCATGGGATTTCCCAGGCAAGCATACTTGAATGGGCTGCCATTTCCTTCTCCAGGGGATCTTCATGACCCGGGGGTCGAACCCGTGTCTCTTAGGTCTCCTGCATTGGCAGGCAGATTCTTTACTGCTGAGCCACCAGGGGAGCCCCTTAGGAGAGAGGAGATAATCTTTAAGAAATGTGAATTGATCCTTAGAAGAATAGACAGGAGATATGATAGTGACAAAGTTTGGCAGAGCGTGGAGTGGACTTCAGTTTCTACTTCTGGGATAAGCGTCAGTATTCCCTGGTTGATGAAACTCCTGGAGAAGGGTTTTATAGCAATTAAATTCCTTTTGGAGGATCTGTCGTTTGGGAGATAAGGGGAGTTCAGAGAAAGCCTCTTACTCTGTTTGTGGTTTTTTAAGTAGTCACAGCTCAAAATAATCAATACACCAAAGTTGCATATTTGGGGGTGCTATATTCTTCTACACTTCAGGATTTAACCATTCCTTTTTGTAAACATTTCATTTAACCATTCCTTTAAAAATGAACATTTAAGATATTGCCAGTCTCAGACAATTTTTCTAAAATGATGCAATGAATAGCCTTGCCTACACATTATTTGAAGATGTGCTGGTATATTTATATAACTTCCTGGGTATAAAATTGTTACAGCATATGTGTTTACACTGTTGAGAGGTATTTGTCCATTATTTAATAGTTCATGCCAAATATAGATAAAACAGAGGAGGGAAGGAAAAACGCTCCGGAAGCTTACGACTGTGGTATTTGAAAAGTCTCAAAGTGTTCTGACAGTACTGTATATTCCATTTTCCCGATATAGTTGGGGATTAGAGTTATGACCTCTTCAGCAATCACTGAGGCACTTTCTTTCACATTTCTACTTTGAGACTAATGAAAAGCATTTGGGTTTTATAGGAGCTTATGACCATTTTCCAACTATTGCACTGGAACGGAAGCCTCAAAGCCCTTCGTGAAACAAAATGTTCCCGACAGGTGAGATTTTTCCAGTAAAAAGCAGGTTTGTGTTGTATGGACTGAGCAGATGGCTAATCATCTTCCACTGAGGTTCCTTTATTTGAATTTTTCTCTGTTTAGTACCTTATTTATTAAGAGCAGAGGATATTTATATATGTGTGTTGTGCTTAGTCTCTTCATTGCGTCCAGCTCTTTGAGACCCTCCGGACTGTAGCCTGCCAGGCTCCTCTGTCCATGGGGATTCTCCAGGCAAGAATACTGGAGTGGGTTGCCATGCCCTTCTCCAGGGGATCTTCCCAACCCAGGGATCAAACCCAGATCTCCCTCATTGCAGACAGATGTTTCACTGTCTGAGCCACCAGGGAATTATATATCTACTAACATATATATATATATGTATATACTAACATATATAAGTATATATAACTTTATGTGCATTTATATGCACATAGCTATATGTTCAACATATATAGGTATACTAACATATATGTGTACATATATATATATCTGATACATATATCTGGTATATCTCTCTCTGATATATCTATCTAGATTTAGATCTAGATATATCAGTCCAGTTGCGTCAGGGCCTGACCACATACACACACTAAGAAGAATGTTGGCTGAACGCTAGAATGGAGGGATCACTTAGTGCCTAAGCCAGATATGGCATCTACTCCATGCAGTGTGCCCCCTCCCACTCTTCAAAGCAGGAAGAAATGTGAGTCTGCACCACCTCCAAACCTCCTCTCCTCACTGAGAACAGAACTTTTCTCACCCCCACCAAATGTTCCTCGTGGGCAACAGAACTGATTATCAAGGTGGGAGACATGGTATTTCCATCACTTCAATTTTTTGTTTTTCAATCAGTTCAGTTTTGGGGTTTGGAAGTTTCTTCTTTATTTTTCAGAGACAGAGTCTCACTATTTCTTAGCTACCTATGAGAAGCACCCTGCCCCCTCTTTTGCTGCCGAAGGCAAACCCCCTCCCATGCACTTAATGGTTCTCACTCTACTATCATTTAAGATTTATTCTGCCTTTATCCCACTAGACTCGAGGATAGTAGTTATTTTTGAGAATTTGCTATCAGGAAGTTGTATGAGGAGCAAAGCCTCTACTAGTCAGCAAGATGAGGGCAGATTTAAAAGTTTTCCATGCACTACTGCCCCAGGAGTTTTTAGTTGTTCTTTGCCTAGAAAGCCTGGCTTTCAAAATGTCAAAGATGGAAAAGAAATGAGTAGCTGACAATGGCTTTGGCTATTTTTTTTCTTTTCCTTTGATTTCATAAAAAGCCTTTGAAACATGCCGAGTTGGTTACAAACACTTTTCCGTGATTGTTTTTAATTTGTTAAGGTCATAAATAAATACCATATGTTCTTGAAAATAAAAATAAGCAATGCATCCACTCCACAAGGTCTTCTTAAAGAGTGTTCATCAAACTTATATATGACATTACAATGTACTGGCAAATTTTAAACATGAGAATTGGAAGATAGTGACTAATTCTGCATTGTCTGCAGAAAGTAAGAGACAATGCACATAAAGTTACCGTTACGATATCAATGATGATAATGCCTATAGTCCATAATTTTTTAAGTCCTTCCCATAGTTACTGTGAACCATTTAGTCTGTCATCTTCCTTATGCTAACAACACAGCAGTTAGGAAGTTGACTCTCCTGGTATCGAAGTCTTGTCGTGATTGAAAGCTTCCTGTTTTCTGCAATGGGTGTGACCAAACCCAGTTCTGCCCAGACCCTTCTGTATAGCTGTTTCCCTCTATCTTGCCAAAGGAGCTAACGTTGGGCAGAAGGGTTATAAATAAATGAGGTAAAGCTCATACTAATTGTTGTAAGAATGCAGTTTCAAAGGAACAGATATTTTCCAGTGAGGTTAGAGCTCTGTTCTGTGGACAATATTAGGTCATTCCTGGTGGCGGGTTTTGATTCAACCCGGAGTGACCTTTACTTTGGGTACCAACTTAAGCCATTTCTCTCCTTTAAGAGGTATGTCCTGGGATTGGGCTTCAGTTCGTGAAGATCAGAGAGGTTTGGTTGTTGGTAGAACACCCACAGGTGTTTGTGTGCTGGGGTCGGGGGTGGAGGCCTAGGAAATGAAGTGTCAGAAGGCCATAGCCCAGGTACTTCAGTTGCTCTTTACTGATGCTCTGGACCTTATCTCTTGGTTCCCAGGAAGTCATCTCCTACTATTCCCAGTACTCCCTGGATGAAAAGATGCGCAGCCACATGGCCCTAGACTGGATCATGAAGGAGCGGGAGTCGCCGGGAATTCTCTCCCAAGAGCTGCGAATGGCCCTGAGGGAGCTGGAGGAAGCCAGGAAAGCAGGGCAAGAACTACGGTTTTACAAAGAAAAGAAAGAGATCCTGAGTTTAGCCCTGACACAGATCTACAGTGATCCTGACGCCTCTTCACCCAGTGATGACCAGCTGAGCCTCACGGCCCTCTGTGGCTATCACTAGCAAGACCAGGTCCCAGCTGCCCCCGAGGTGGGCAGAAGCCGGACTCTCCCATGAGGAAGCTCACGGAGAGGTTTGGTCATCAGAGGCTTTAGCGCTTCTAGATGCTACGTGAAGGCGGTAGTAATTCTGCTCACTTATCCCATGCACAGTATCTCAAGAGTAGTAGGACCCTTATAGGACCCAATGTCCCCCTCAATGCAGTTTCCTCAGTAGTTCCACCTCAGGCCGAAAGGATGACGACAGGATTGTTTGGAAATATTTCCCACGCCTGGCTTCAACCTGAAGCCTGGTTGACATGTGCCTTGCTGGATCACATATGTTGTTTCAAAGAAAGGACCAGTGTAGCAACTCCAAAAAGAACACCAGCCAGGACTAGGGAAAGTAGCATGATAGCAAGTCAAAAGTACTTGGGATTAAATAAACAATATGGATTATTTTTAAAAATACCCAGGGGTTAGAGTTTCTTCTTAAGCTTTGTCAGTTGCAAGATCATTTACACTCCACCAGGTGTAACATAAAACTTCAGTGGGGATTTTATCTGGACATCCCACTATCAAAGATTTTGAAGTGGTAATGGTATGAAAAATACTATATAATTGTAATGTGGCTTAAAATGTCATTGTAACAATTTTTTTTTTAAAGCCCACTCTTCCATATGGGTATAAATGTCACCCAGGATAGCACCCTCAGTTGTTTTCCTCAAGAAGAATTAATATCCAGTTTTTTGTGAGTCCTCAATCAATCATGTGCATTTTTAATTTTCAAATAGATGAACTGCTTTATTTTTATGTCTGCAACCTCAGTCATATGTCTATAATGGGGACAGTTACTGGCATTTCTAAGATTAAAACATTTTGAAAAATCATTAGCATTTAACAGTACTTATATTTAAATTTGATTTGTTTCTCCTGCATTAGAGAAAAGGAATTATTAATTGCCTTTCCTGTTGTTCGAGAACGTAAACCACCAGTAGCTCAAACATAGTGTCACTTTTCAGTTTAAATTACTGGACTCTTCTTTAAAGAAGGGATAAAAGATTGCTATCTCTCTTTTAAAATGGCTTGGGTCAATTAACTGACTAGAAAACCAAAAGCAAATACAAACCATTTTTTATGGTTCTTCGTCACTCAAATTTAAGAATGGTAGCAGTGCCAATTTTAAACACTTATAAATAGTTCCTATTTTTAACATGGGATGGATTATCTTGCATTTACTCCAATGTCAAATTTAATAAAAACAGTTTTCTCAATTTTCAATAAGATTTCCTTTTCTTCCTGTTTAGGCAAATGCACATTAACTTTCATGAAAGCTGAAACCATTATAATTACACTAATGTTTACAAAAATGTGATAGTTGTAGCTTCATATCTAAATATCTACAATGCTAATTGTCACTCCTTGAATCCCCAAGAAACTGTATACTAAGCATGTATTTTGGAAGTAGCCTTATTAGTAAAAATTAACTTCACACATCATATTTCTCACCCCAGAGAAAAGTTTAGCTATATACCTTCCCTACTCAAATGTCTTCCAGAAGTAATACTATATAATATTAGATACATTTTATTTAAACTATTGTTTTAACAAAAAAAATCACATCCCTCCCCTCTCCATAATGAGGCTAAATGTCACCTAGGAGAAATTCCCAAATAGAAATTAGAATTAATATCTGTAAGTGAATACATTTTAAAGTTAAATCACTTCCTATTTAAAGCAATGTTTTCAAGAAATCATTACTCTTTATCTTTTCAGAAAAGCTACAGCTTCCCATATTAGGAGTGATGAAAAGTAGGTACATCTGTACAGCATTTGCAGTCTTTAATGATGACCACCTCAAGCTGACACTATCTAACTAGATGCAGGAACAGGAATCAGCTAGAAAATATTAAATGCAGTCTCTGCCCAGCAATTAGAAAAACTGTACCCATTCCGTACACTGGAAGCAGAGGCTCTGGCTTGGCCACTATCAACTTTTCCTGGCTGGTCAAAACTGCCCACTCTTCCCACCACGGTGTGGGAGTTTCAGCAAAATAGGCAAAAGTCAGAATCTTTACCACTCCCTTTGATGTTCATTTATCACAAATCAGTATCAGCTAAGAACTCTGTCGGTATATCACATAAACATCTACAATTCTGGCCTTGAGGCTAGCAGGGTTGAAGAGCAAAGTAGACTATTATTATTTTTCATTTTCTATATCTTGTTCTCAATAACACGCTGTGTTGAATGGGCCTGGAGTGGAGGATTCTCTACTTAAATATATAGAACCCTGGGTTCTAACAGTTTGTGGTTATAAATTCTTTGAGAATCTAATAGAAGCTATGGACTTTATCCTAGGAAAATAGAATGAAACAATTACATTCAAAATTACACAGACTGTTTCGGAGTATATGTGAACCTCCCCAACATCCATTCATTGCCCTGTCCAAGAACCCCCAGTTTAAAACTCTTCATTTTTGCATGTCTACTTATAGTTTCTTAACTTTTCAGCAGGGCTCCAACCTAACTCAGACATAGTCCCATTAACCTATCTCTGAGACAAATGTCATTATCTTTAAATACAGAATTGCACTGACTTGTGACAAGAGATAGTTTAATTTTCACAAAACCCAAATATCCCAGATTGTTACGAAAAAAACTGCTTAAAGAAAATTAGTCATTTAACTTGTATGATCATATCAGAGTATTACAGATTTAATAAAGTCATTGTTCCTCTAATGATCAGAATTTGGTTGTCCTTTTGTTCAATATGTTCGCTGTTACATTCATTCACCTATTTCTAGAAAAGGAAAAGAATCAAGCCATAGATATTCTTAAAATGTTGTACCTATGTCAGTGATAAATCTGATCAGCTAGGTCTCAGGAAAACAAGAAAGAAAACATAAAAGCTTAACACCTTTCAATTTCCTTAGAGAAAGTGTTTAACATCAGGAGCATTGTTGTAGTTGACATTATCTCTGAAATACTTTAGAGGGTTCTCAGTTATATCACACCATGCCTTTCTTTCTTGTCAAATGACAGAAGAAGCCAGACTGAGAATATTTTTATTACCCTTGACTATGTTTACAGGTAAAGACTATTTAAGATATTAGCTCTTATATATTGTTGATTTTTGTTTTGTTTTACCTTGCAGAAATGCAAAACTCAAGATTTCTTCTATGGTGTCCACCATGTTAAAGGGTGAATATTAAGATTATTTTTAGCCAGGGCTCCAGGGAAATGAAAATTATTTTCCCTACCATAGTAGTTCTCAACTTTGGTTCACATTAAAAATATTCAAGGAGATTTAATAGATCCTAGCTATTCAGACTATCCCCAGATTAATGAAATCAGACTCTCTGGAAGTGGGACCCAGCCACCAGTATTTTTTAGAGGTCCCAGGTGGGGTAGTTCCAGTGTGTGATAAGGTTGAGAACCATGAGGAAGTTCTGGCTCAAAGGCCTTCAGCCTAACTAGTGGAAGCTATTACTTAACTTGGCACTGGCCCCAAATTAAAAACATTGAGCTCTTCTGATCTAGGTAGGAGCAAAACCTTTTGCTGGGCAAGAGGCTTTCCTGGAGCCCAGAACTAAAGCTGGGCAAGCGTGTGTTCACACACATACCTATCTTAGCAGGAGAGCCCAGATTCTCTTCCAGGTCCAGGCTTTTTCTCAAATATGACATACAAACTACCTGTACCACAATCATCCTTTAAAAATACAGGTCCTGGTCCACGCCCAGACCTGCTAACCAAATTCCAGGAGAGAGTCTGGATGGTTACCACCTCACCAGGTGTTTCTGATCACACTTAAATTTGAGTTCTTTTGGCCAAGAGCTACTTAGCACATTCTTTAGTAGGCAGCACAGCCTTGGCCTAACATAATCAGCCTCTTGGTGGAGAGCACAGAAAGGAATAAAGGAGGACAGGGGAGGTTTCCTCTTTACTCTCCTGGAAGCTAGAGAGAAGCAGAAAGGCTAGCTGCCTCTCCTTTCCCAAAAGAGTAGCTCCCACTTTTTATCACTTTGGCTCCAACATTTGGAATTAGCTTTAATCCCTTTACTGGAAACCTTGAAAATCTTCTATTAGCTGATGGTTAAATTTCTTTAAACCTCACCCAATCCTGGTAGCACATTCTCTCTTGGTGCAAAGTAAGTTGTGGGAAAGGAAAGCAGAAGTATTTCCTGAGAGCTGTTGATTCTCTAGTGATTGTTGGTTCCCAAGTGAAAGTCCTGGATTGCTATCTATTTATAGGCAGTTCTCAATTTTAGCAGCAAGCATGTTTCATAAGTCCATTTGTAATTCAGTTATTCAATCCTAATGATGCATTTTTCCACAGAAGCAAGGTCATAAATGATGGCAAGTTTCCCAGACAAGCCTATATAAACAAATATATATATGCAGTATGCATGCATGCTCAGTCGTGTCTGACTTGTTGCGACCCTATGGACTGTAGCCCACCAGGCTTCTCTGTCCATGGGATTTCCCAGGCAAGAACACTGGGGGATCTTCCTGAGCCAAGGATCAAACCTGTCTCTTGCATCTCCTGCACTGGCAGGCAGATTCTTTACCAACTGTGCCACCTGGGAAACCCCATATAAACAACAGGGTAACTTATAAATGGATCTATGGGACATAATATGGCTCTAGGTATTTAGGCAGGGGAGAGTAGAATAAGGGAGACAGCTGTGGGTCGCAGGCATATTACTGAAGACCTCCCTAGAGCATATTTCTTCATCTCAAACTGGGTCTCCAGAGAGTCCCTTTGTTTTCTCTTTGCTCCCCACCCCCAGCCCAAGATTAGCTTGAAAATACCCCACCCCTTGCCATCACTTGTTTCTTCGGATCACAGCTTCTTCTACTTTCTGACTTACTGAAGAAGTGTTTTTCTTCCTGCCTATCCTACAAACACTTTGAAAATTTCTAACAACTGGCATCACTAGAAATAGGAACACTGGATGACCTAAAAATGGCAGCTACGAAGAATTGATGCTTTTGAACTGTGGTGTTGGAGAAGACTCTTGAGAGTCCCTTGGACTGCAAAAAGATCCAACCAGTCCATCCTAAAGAAGATCAGTCCTGGGTGTTCATTGGAGGGACTGATGCTGAAGCTGAAACTCCAATACTTTGGCCGCCTCATGTGAAGAGTTGACTCACTGGAAAAGACCCTGATGCTGGGAGGGATTGAGGGCAGGAGGAGAAGGGAACGACAGAGGATGAGATGTTTGGATGGCATCACTGACTCGATGGACATGGGTTTGGGTGGACTCCAGGAGTTGGTCATGGACAGGGAGGCCTGGCATGCTGAGATTCATGGGGTCGCAAAGAGTCGGACATGATTGAGTGACTGAACTGAACTGAAGCCTCTCTGCAGGCCCTGCAGAGAAAGACACAAGCATCAGATGTGGAGCTGTACTCTCCCACCCCTACAGTTTCCTACCTCTTTGGTGTCCTCATTGGATGCCCCCACCCCACTGCCCCATCCTGATCTCAGATGCCCATAGCTAGCCAGTGATTCTGGGCAACCTGGCTCAAAACTGCAAACTGGACTGACAGTCCATCCCCCTCAGGAATGTGAACCAAGAAACATGGAAGGAATTTGGCAGTTCAAGATGGGAGCTGAAATTGGAAGAGTCAGGTTGACGAGTGCTGTGCAGGTTGAAGAGATGAGGAAGAAGGAATGATGCATCAAAAGAGGAAGCTGGTCAGTAGGAAGAGAAGAAGGTGGTCGGTGTAGACAGCAGGTGCAAAAAGAGGCAGAAACACAAGTTGAAGGTGAGACTAGGAGGCCCACGAGGAAACAGGAAGAGCGGCTGGCCCATACCCCTTGTGGTAAATTTACTTACTATTTATCTGACTGGATCACACACTTTGCAGCCAAAGAAATCTCACCTTACTAATTTCAAAGCAAAATGACTCTAGATTTACCCGGACTTTTCCTCCTGAGAAGAGACCAAGAAAACTGACATGAGGCAAAACAATAGAAATAGAAGCAACAGAAATGCTGCTGAGGAAACTGGACTTAAGACTGGCAAAAGAGTTAGATTTCTGCCCACTCATGGCCCCCTCCACTCCAAGGTAAGCTCTCACATCAGTCAGGAGTCCTTCCCAAATCTGCAACAAATTTATGCATTATGTGCTAACCTTTGTGTTTTTCCTCCCCTCCACATAAATTCCTGTGTTTTCATGTTCCACAGGAGGTATGACCACAGAGGGACATAGAATTCTATGTTTACAGATAGAATTCATAATCTCAAATAAATGTTGCATCTTTAAAAATTAATCACCTTGGGAAACTAATAACATAATTTGACAATGCTCAAGAGCGCTGTCTTTGCCAAAGACATTTCTGTCACGAACGCCTCTGTGGGAATAGCCCTCTGAGTTCATGTGAGCGAAGGAAGAAAATCAGTCTCTTTTGTCAGCAGAAAGCACCTTGAGATCCTGAACTGACTAGTTTATTTCACTATTTCAACTATTAGTCCTAATACTTAGCAGGTATTAGGAAAGTATTAGTTCTAATAGTTGAGTCCAAATTTCTACTTGAGGAACATTCATTGAATGTCCCTGGTGCCTTCCTTACTCCTTGCTTGATCAGTTAATTCCTTCATTAGACCTGGCTCTGTTCTATGGGATTAGTTAGTAATCACTCACTAATTAGTCAGGATTACCAAGTGTTTCAGCTGTAAAGAATCCGCAGGCAAAGCAGGAGACACAGGTTCAATCCCTGAGTGGGGAAGATCCCCTGGAGGAAGTCATGACAACCCACTCCCATATTCTTGCCTTGTGAATCCCATGGACAGAGGAACCTGGCAGGCTACAGTCCATGGGGTCACAAAGAGTTGGACACAACTGAAGCGACTTAGCATGCATGCATGCAGCAAGGCAGAAACCCAAATCAAGTCTACTAGCCAAAAGGGGAGTTCATTGGCTCCAAAGGGGGAATTTATTGACACAAACGAGTCCCAGGACAGTGTTTGCTCCAAGTACATCTGGATCCAGGAGCATAAACCAACACTTCATCTCTCTCATTATACAGATATGTACATGTGTACACATTCATTTGTGTCACTACTCATTTCTCAAATATCCTTTCTTTTGTGTTGGCTCCATTCTTAGCAAGGCTCTCTCCCCTCGGAGCAGTAAGATGAAGGCCAGCAGTTTCATCCTTACATCGTAGCAGAGTGAGAAATTCTCTTCCCAGCAGTGGTGAATCCAGAACTGAGGGCCATAGTGGTATTTCAGTTGACTCCGTCACCCAAGCCTCAGGTCTGCCCACCTGGAACTAGTGATGAAGCAGTCCCACCTCCATGACTTGGACCAGGTTGGGGAGCCATAGTCACCTCAGGTAAATACGGGTTCAGATAGGAACACAGGGAAAATGTGACCATTTCCTAAGACACTTTTGAAACTGTTTCTCCTCAAGAGACTTCAGAGACAGAGTGAACAATAGAAGAAATGCCATCTCTCCAACTACTAGCTGGGGAACAGGATTCTGGGTAGACCAGATGTTCACTCTGAATACATTGTACCATTTCCAAAAATCAAATTCACCCTCAAAGGACAACTTTTGTCACCATTAAGGATGTTCAAAAGAATATTTTCCCCCTGGAGGGGAAATCTAAAAGTGTTTCCAGACCAATCACATCACTGCAATAAGCATACAGGTTCTCTGAGGACTGGCCCGAGGGAATGGTGCTCATTTGTATGTAAAGAGTTCTGTTGTGTGGAGAAGCCCAATCACTGGCACCACTCTGCAGTCACACTTCATTTATCTTCAGTGCTGATGAATTGTTGCTATGCTGGGGAGTCAGGAAACTTCCTCTGGTCTATTTCTAGTGGGCCCTGGCTTTCATTATCAGTGGCTGCTAATGCTTTTAATAAAAAAGAAAACAGTGGATCCCAACAATGAAAAACAGTTGTGGCAAAACTGGACAGTGCAGTAGCCTAGAGAGTTTGCTTACCCAACTCATAGTTGAGCAACGTGCGAACCTTAAGTACGGCTCCATTCTGACCCAGGAGTTATGACGCAGGTAGCCATAAAATGCTTTTGGAAACAATTTATTCTGAGGCAATCTCTTGTGTATCTCTCAGATATTTCCATATTTCCATGTAGTAATTAGCTAGATGATGTCTGGAAGTAAATAGGCAGTACTTAGTGTGAGCAGGTTTTCATAGTGAAAATCTGAAAATGCAGCTGACCCAGGGAAGTACCTGGTTGTCAGAATTGAAAAGTTAACAGGAGTGACTTCCCTGGTGGTCCAGGGGTTAAAAATCTGCCTTCCAATACAGGGGACTTGGGTTGGATCCCTGGTCAGGGAACTAAGATCCCATATGCTGCAGGGCAACTAAGCCCACATGCCACAACTATAGAGCCTGCAGGCTCCAAGAAAGAACCCTCATGCCACCAAGACTGATAGAGCCAAATAACTAAAAACAAAATATTTTTTTAAAAAAGTCAACCTGAAACTTCAATGAACTAAAACTAAAAAAATGGGAGCTATTTTACCCTTTCAGTTAATCCTCTCTCAATGGATCTGGGGATTTTATTTATTTGTTTACTGTCAACACTTGGATTTTTTTTTTTCCTCAATGTTTTTGGTCACAAGGCCGCCAAAGCAAGTGAATCCAAAAAATGGGGGAGGGGAATTCAGTTCTCTTAAAGGCTGAGACAGATCCTTTTATCTTAAGCGACGTTTATTAAAGATTGGGTTCACTAAAGTGGTGAATTAAATTTAGACAAGTTTCTTCACATTGTCTTTCATCCAGAGTGTTCTTCTTGGCAATATGTTTTGAACCCTTTTTATTTTTCCATAGAAACTCAAGGACTGTAAGTAGCTCCTCACCCAGTTCACCAGGCATCTGTGAAAAGCCAGGGGGGCTCAGCTCTCACTCCGCTGAAGAGAGGCTTCCGTAAACTGAGTTTCGCCACATGGGCAACTTCATCCCAGGCATTGCAGGTGTCACACACGTTGACAGTAGGATTTACAGGGTCTAAAATGAATGGCCTAAAACAAAGCAAAACAAACCTCCCACTCTCCATTTCTAAACCGGTTTCAGTTTGCCAGATGGTTGTGTTGTGTGCTTACAGTCCTGTTTGACTCTTTGCGACCCCATGGACTGCAGCCTTCCAGGCTCCTCTGTCCATGGGATTCTCCAGGCAAGAACCCTAGAGTGGGTTGCCATGCCCTCCGCCAGGGGATCTTCCCAACTCAGGAATTGAACCCAGGTCTCCAACATTGCAGGAGGACTCTTTACCGTCTGAACCACCAGAGACGCCATATTGGTAGGAGAGAGTAATGTCGGAGTTAAAGATGGAATTCTGTTACGAAAAGGAATCTCTGGGAACCATGGGAGGACCAACCACGCCTGGTGGAAAACAGCCTCTTGCTTCTACCCCACCAACCCTGACTCCTACTCATTTTCCCTTCCCACCTGAGGAAGTCTGTCCTCCCTGGATTGGGTCTTCCTTTTCCACTTCACTTGTTGTCTATAACCACATTCTATTCGTTTTGCTCAAATTCCTCTTAATTCGCACTTTAGAATTAAAGTTCTGTGAGAAGCAATTAAAGGAAATGACTTCGTAGTAATCAGGGCCGTCTCATTTACACTGAATCCCATTAAAGCTACTCTTTGCTCCAGACTTCCTTCCTTGATGACAAGCCCATTTCCTATATCCTAAGGGGGTAGGGAAGATAAATAGTTACCTTGTGCGCTTCTGGTTAACTTTTACAAAAACGGGGAACTTGCGATGATAGTGTCTGTGCCAAACCACGTCGATATCTGCATATTGAACCAGAAGTTTGAGGACTGCCCTCATTCCCTGCAACAGGCTGAAAGACGGGGGCTTCTCCGCCCGTTCCCAGATATATATGGTGAGGAGCTCCAATGAGTAAGAGGAGGGAAGTCTCCGAAATCTAGACAGAATGAATCCAGAAAGTGAAGACAAGTTTATTTAGTTATGAGAAAAATCCTAAAGGCAATTAACAGAAGAAGAAATTTCATTCTCAATCCCACTACTTACCAAATAATAACAATATTTCCACCAATCAGATTGGCGAAAAACAGGAATTATAATATTCAACATTGGTGAGTTTGTGAGGAGATGAACACACTATTGGTGAGACTCTAAATTAATAAAGTATTTTTTGGAGTCAATTCTATTAAAACTTGACCTGTTCCATCCTTTTGATCTAGCATTTTTTACTTCTATGAATTCACTCTGTAGAAACATCTACAAGTACTCAAAGACAGATATAAGCAAAAGTACGTTTTTTATTTCATTGTTTGAAATGTAAAATTGGAATGTTCATCAGTAGAGGACTAATTAGATGATTTCATGGTACATGTCCTACTACACTGTCCAAAATGGCAGCCTCCAGCCATATGTGGATATGAACATTTGACATGTGGCTAGTTTAAGTATATACTATATTTTCAAGAAATGAAAGAAAGTAAAAATATTTAAGTAATTTTTTCATTGATTTCATATTGTAAAGATAACATTTTGGATATACTGGGTAAATATTAAAATTAATTTCACCTATTACTTTTTACCTTTTTAATGTGGCTACTAGAATATTATCATGTCGCATATGAGGCTCATATTTGAACCTCACATTGTATTTTAGACAGTGTTGTCCTGTACAAGAAGCAAGGTAGCTCACAATGTACAGATCTAAAGATACAATATAGATTAACTGAAAAAAATTTAAAACAATAAACAGCAAATACATTTTAAAAAATTAAGCATACACAAAAACAAACTTGGAGAATATGCTCTAAACACATTGTTGGGAATTGGGGATTGAGGATGAAGAAAGAAACTTGTTTGCTTTTTTTACATTAAGTCTTTTAAATTGTAGTTTATATATCAGGGGAAAAAATGAAAGTTGATAAACAAACTTGGGAGGAAAAGAGGAAAAAACCCAACATGAGAATTTTAGGATTTCATGGTGGCTGATATCCAAATATGTGTTTTTACTGCCTTGGCTTTCATTAGCCATAGAAATATCTTTTGATGATATATTGCAAATTTATGCAATTTTTTTCCTCTAATAGAATTTATGGGAAACAGAGTAGCATTTTCCTACTATTGCATTATACATTTGTTTTTACCTCAATTAAGGAAAAAGAAAAAACTAAAAGTAGACAAAACCTCCTGTCCTGGTAATGAATAGTGAATCATTTCAGTGATTTCAGATGATCAGTAGCTCAGTTCCTGTGATTTTCCCTCAGGGGTTGACAACAATGAACACAAGATTTAAAATCCATTTCTACTGATGCTCCCAAATGCCCAAAGTAAATCATGGTTGAACGTTACTCAAACAGGAGATGCTCTTCACATTTTATGAAAGAAAATATAGTGGGGGTGGGGGGAGACTTAATAAGCATTGAACTATTTTACTTCACATTTTTATACCATTATTATAAACATATTTATATAGCTCTGATATGTGTTCATATTATTTTGTATCCTGTTTTAGTCATTTGAAATTGTTTCATATAAATGTTTCCATGTTTCCCAAACTTTTCTTGAATAGTAGTTCATCAAAATTATAGGACAAATTTACTTGCATCTCAGGGAAATTTTCCTTCCCAATTTTCATTATCTTTAGTAGCACTATTCTGAGTATGCTTATACAAATTACTTTTTTATGTGATTTATTTTCTGTAAGCATAGTTCATCTAAGTATTTCTGATCTCTCTTTTAAAAGTCTTTATTTTGCATACTCCTTTTTAATGACATTTTAATACAAATGGCCTCAATTCTTCTTTTAAAATCAAATAATAAGAAATATTTTTTTACTTCTGACTTTTACCTTTTTTTTTAAACTCAGAGGGGAATTAAGTTGACAAATGGTTCAAATATTTTAAAATCTTTAACACATAATAAATACTTAATACACATTGCCAGATTACTTTCCCAAAATAGAAAACCAATTATCGTATTGGAACATATGTGGTCCAAATTCCCCACAATACCACCTTTTTAAGTCTTAGAATGATTTTTCTGCTACATTAACAGATAAGTTTTTTCTTGAAGACCTATAAATGCTTTCAATTACCAAAAACAACAAAAAAAAATTTTGTTAGATTTCAAAACCAGGCTTGTTATCTGACCAAGAATCTCCTCAAGGTAAGAAGCTTTATTTCTTTTTTCTGTTTTCACTAGTTTTTTCTATTTTCACTAATAAATTTTTACTCAACCAAAAGAGAAAAAAATATATAGGATGGTTAGAGATACATAGAGATAGACGGTAACTACACAGGAGTGATGTGTGTTTTAACATACTGCCTAATGTTATCATCAGTATTAAACAGAGAAACATAAAAAGAGTAACCAGAGTGTGTGATTCAGATGAACAAATCAAGATTGTTAACAACTTCATATAAAGATGAAGAAGATTTATTCCATGTAGAAAATGGCCATATATAAATATGTTATAATAAACCCCCTGTCTCTGCTATTACTGCCAAATGGAGAATTCATAAAACTATATTCTAGTTCTTTGTTTTTCAAAAGTTTATCTTAAAGTACTTAAAACCAGTATCTGAGTCTCCCTCACACCCCTTTACTATACATTAGAGTCTGTTGCTGCCAAAGTGAGGGAAAAATACTAAAACAGACACATCATCAACTTTTGAGGCTGCCCATCTCCTCAGAGGACAACTCTGCTGTTACAACTGGCTACCGTGGAAGGCACACCACGTGTGAACATTGCAGGACTCATTCAGATCATGCTGTTTCCCTTTTCCTTTCCTGTGCCTTCCTTCCTTGCAGCAGCCCATTTGGTTATGCCATGAATACGTTGGTTTTTATTCTTTGGTTTCTACCAAATCGTTATGTTATATTTGAAACAATAGAAGACAGATGTTCCATATTTTGTAACAGCCCTCATTCTCGCTCTCCTTTCTCTCTCTCTTTCCCTCTCTACACGTATTGGCTCTGCCTACCGAAGAAAGGAACATGAAAATCGAAAGGCTCGAGGGTACCCATGTGCTGTTACATACTTGTTCTCTTCAGTGGGGCCGGCAAATGATGTCTGGAGCCAATGTATCATTAAACGAATGAGCTCCTTCAGCCTTACGACAGAGGCCTTGACGAAATCCACTTGGTATGGTAAAAGGGCCAAGGCACACAGCTGGGCCTCGTCACTGTCCTCACAGAGGTATAGCTCGCGGTAAAGGTGACGTTTTAAATCTGTTAACACCAGGGACAAAGACAACGGTGAGCCTTTCCCCCTCCTTTCCTCTCCTGGTTTCCCGTGGTACCGACGAGCTATGTTTCTCTGATTAGTTAGAACTTCAGCATTTAAAACAAAACCATTTCTATATTTAGGAGAGTTATTACAGATTACCCAAGTGATTCAAAGAGAAAACTCTGACATTATGGTGCTGGAGCAGTTCAAATGGAGCAAATGCTAGTGCAGGAAAATCTTTCTCATCTGAGGAGAAAATTTTCTGTCAGCAGAGGAAGTTTATTTCTCAGAAGCAAATTTCATTACCGTTTGCAAATGTCATCCAGCATATAAACTAAATACCATTATGCTCTGTGCACAAGAACCTATACAGTCTCTTCTGTTTAATTATCTAGGTGGTTATTATCTGTATATATATTTTCAGAAGAGAGTCTACTACCTGGACACAAGAAGGAATTGATTATATTTACAAAAATAGAGATGACTTTAAAAGTTGCATTTTGGTCAAATTGAAAACAATCTATGGCAGTTAGCATTACATTAATGAGGGAGGAAGACTAGATTAACTAGTAAGCATGACCAAATAAACATCTATATCTTATTACTACTCATAAAACATCACAAAATCTCATAAAACATCATTGTCAGGTTGTGCTTATTCTAACTGTATGGTATATAAATGTCCAGTATCTTTTATCATAATCTACTTAAATTTTCCCAATTAGACACAATTAGCAGTTCTAATATGAATCTATTTTATACCTTTATATGTACCTGTCCTGCCCAATTAAATTGTCACACAATGACATACTTGTTAATCACAGCACATTTAGATTCTGCAATACACAGTGTTCAGTTAATTGGTAAGTAACTATTTTACTTGTAAAATACCGTAAAAAAAAAAAAAGCTTTATGCCTTTATTTGGACTTCTAACTTTAAGAGTATCTGTACAGTCCTTTTATACTGATCCAGTTGTTTAGGGCCAAATCAGAGACAGAATAGTAGGCTGATTATCAACAGGATTGAGAGTAAAATCAAATTCCTATAATAAATATAGATGAACACATGAAGCCATTTATGGCAAACATTCTCATAAATGCTGTTCAGTCCAGCTCAATTCAGTTGCTCACTCGTGTCCGACTCCTTGCGACCCCGTGAACAGCCGCACGCCAGGCCTCCCTGTCCATCACCAACTCCCAGAGTCCACCCAAACCCATGTCCATCGAGTCAATGATGCCATCCAACCATCTCATCCTCTGTTGTCCCCTTCTCCTCCTGCCCTCAATCCCTCCCAGCATCAGGGTCTTTTCCAATGAGTCAATTCTTCTCATAAGGTAGAAAGTATTGGAGTTTCAGCTTCAGCATCAGTCCTTCCAATGAACACCCAGGACTGATCTTCTTTAGGATGGATTGGCTGGATCTCCTTGCAGTCCAAGGGACCCTCAAGAGTCTTCTCCAACACCACAGTTCAAAAGCATCAATTCTTCTGGTCTCAGCTTTCTGAGAAAAACCATAGCCTTGACTAGACGGACCTTTGTTGGCAAAGTAATGTCTCTGCTTTTTAATATGCTGTCTAGGTTGGTCATAACTTTCCTTCCAAGGAGTAAGCATCTTTTAATTTCATTGCTGCAGTCACCATCTGCAGTGATTTTGGAGCCCGAGCAAATACATTCTAGTCCTAAACTTACAAGGCAACAGTCATTACAACTATTAAAATACCCTTTCAATTTTACTGATGGTCTAACTTTTTTTAGCAAACAGACTTAGACTAAAATTCAGGTTTATGATGATAAAAGATAGAAGAAGCAATATTTACTTAAATTTTGGTATACAATAGGTATATCAGATATTTGATGACCTTTTCCTATTATCTGATAAGATGTCTTGGCTGACCCAGAGATTAAATACTCAAAACCACCTCTGTATCAACATTTCTCCTACTTTAAGATTCTTCACTGACAGGAACCTAAGTTGGTGGTCTCTAACTTAAATTCTTTTTGAGCCTTGTAACTGTCTGTTTCTACTCTGTTGTGACTTAGATGAGTTTATTTTATCATAATCATCATTTGTAAAACAGTCATACTTGGATCCCTTGCCATTAGTCAAGTAAATATTCTAAGCACTTGACGTTTATTGACATATTTACTCTTTAACAACCCTTGATATGGAAACTATTATTAGCTTCCATTCACAAATGAGGAAATAGGGTTGGAGAAATTAAGTTTCCCAAAGTCACACAGCTAGGAAATCAAGCCATCTATTGCCATCTTATTATGCTATGTCACAGGTTAGATCTGAGCTCAAATGCTTTCTAATCAGTGGCTAATTCCATACTTCTCAGACTTTAATGAGTACAAGAGTCACCTGGAGATCTTTTGCAATGCAGTTTCCAACTTAGTAGGTCTAGGGTGGTGCCCAAGATTCTGTATGTCTAACAAGTTCTTAAGTAATGCTGCTACTGCTGATCTGAGAATCACATCTGGAGCAGAAATACTGTCAACCACATCCTTATCAAACCTCATGGCTTTGGGCTTCATTGTGGTAGAAGGGGCAAACTATTAATTGTCTAGCATAGATGTGAGATGTGCAGGGAATAATATTAAAATGCCTGTGAGGATTTGACGTGATCATCTGAGTCTTACTCTGACAATTACTGGCAACATTTAACTGCCCATTAAAATTCCCTGGAATCCTAGGACTTTGAATTGCTCATCTCCTGTCAAACCCATTCCCCATCATCAGTGGAAAGAAGCAGGGTTACATAATAATTTCAGTCTTTTAGAAATTCATTTCACACAACTGTGCTCAAGAACTCAGGAGAATTAGAAGCCTGAATAAAAATATACTTATGCTCCACTGGGAGACATTCTAGCTTCAGAGCTACTGATATAAACTGATTCTCAAGACTACCCAAGAGATGGCTAACAACTGTGCTTTTGAAGTCTGCACACAAGAAAAAAAAAAGCATTTTACACAAACATGGGAACTTCATGGGCCTATGGTGAGACCTAAGGAGAAGGAAGTATCTTTTCTTAATAAATATTCATTGAGCTAAACACAATTGCATGCTATGTGATTTGAAGTTAAATATCATATTTTAATTCTTACCACTATCCTTGAGGTAACTTTCTTTTTCTTTTTTTTTTTGAGGTAATTTTCTTATCTCAGTTTATAGATGAAAAGTGAGGCTTCAGAGTTTCTCATGACTTACCTAAGTTCACATAGATAATATGAAATAGAGTTGAGATTTGGCTTCAAGTCCAGTATGTACCATCTATTATATAACTTTGATGTCATGTCAGTCTACACAGGGCCTACACAATGAGAGAGACCTGGATTTTCATCCCAGTTCTTACATTTACTAACTACATAAATGTGGGCAAGTTTCTTAAATTTTCTAAGGCTCAGTTTTTAAATATTCAAACTGGGAAAATAGCTTCTTTTCAGGTTTCTTGTTCAGGTTCATTTATCAGATTAATCTTGAGGCAATGAGAATTGTATATGCCATGTAATAGGTGTGGGATAAATCACAATATTTAAAAAATATCATAGGTTCAGGAAGAGTATCATAGGGTTACTAAAAACTCAGGTTGGGCTGAGTTCACACCTTCCTTCCTAGTAGTCCTTCTTATCTCAGAATCCTCCTTACCTCTGCCCAATGTAGATGATATTTTAATAAAATGACCTATTTGTGTATCTCCAGACTGTAAGGCCCTCCAGACTATACAGTCAACTATGTCTTATTCATTTTTGTGCCCCCAGGCCTAACACAGTTCCCAGAACATGGTAGGGGGCAGAACATATGTACTGACAAATTATAGCACAACAGAATTTTAATATGAGCAGCACATTGTCCAACAGTGCTGAGAAGTAAAGAACCAGATTAAGAAAGTCAACATATTCCACTGGAGTCTGGCTGAGAAGGTAGGATCAATGTTATGATCATCCATTCCGTTTTTCAATACATATTTATTCCTGGGTCGGGAAGATCTGCTGGAGAAGGGACAGGCTGCCCACTCCAGTATTCTGGCCTGGAGAATTCCATGGACTGTATAGTCCACGGGGTCTCAAAGAGTCGGACACAACTGAGCGACTTTCACTTTCACTTAGGGCATAAATGCAAACGTTATCTTCAAAGACCTCCAAATGCAAAGGGAAACCAAAACCATGCATAATGGCAATATAAGGGAATCATGTTCCAGCAGCAAACCATGGGGGATCCCATGGGAATGCAGAAGAGGCAGGTCCAGAAAGGACTGATGAGGGAAGGAAGTTCATCAGAGGTGCACCAGGTCTTGAAGGGTAAGGAGAAACTTTCAAGGCTGAGTGTAGGATGGGACAAGAAACATTTATCAGAAGACACATAGTACAAAGACACAGAGATAGGAAGGAAATATTTAAAGATTAGTGGCTCATGAACCTCTCCTCTACCAAATGTGAGCCCTCAAAGAGCAAAAATATTGAGGCATTCATTTTAAGTATTTAATGGTACATGGTAGGTATTCCAGAAAAGACGGTTGAATGGAGTACATGAATGAATAGATCAATGAACATATTTGATACCTGCTGCTAAGCCAGAGCGGGCTCACACATTGCTATGGCATTTTCCATTCTGCATTTCACCCTGCAGAGAATATACAAATGTTTCAGGCAAGCAGACGCTTACACTCAAGCCCCAAGTTTTCTAGAGGCTACATTTACATCTATATAAATCCCTTAGTCATCTGAGACTCTGATTGGGCTACTAAAACAAAGATACCACAGACTGGGTGGCTTAAACAACAGAAACAATTTATTTTCTCACAGTTTTGGAGGCTGGGAAGTCCATGATCACGGTGCTGGTAAATTTGGTTCCTGGTGAGAGCCTTCCTCCTGGCTTACCTTGGAGGTGGGATAGCTGACTTCTCACTCCCTGTTCATGAAGTTGAGAAGGGAAGTTTCGGTGTCTCTTCTAACAAGAGGCATGAATCCCATCCCTGGGGCCTCACCCCCATGATGTCATCTAAACCGAATTGTTGACACCTCTCAAAGGCCTCACCTCAATACAATCATGTCTGGGAGTAGGGCTCCAAAGTGTGAATTTTGGGGGACACAAACATCCAATCCATAATAGGGCCCTCATATTTTTTCCTAAAATGGAGATACTCTAGCCCCACTTTTTATGAGTATGATTAGTGGTTATGCTTCATATCTTACTCTGCTACTGCTGCTGTTGTGAAGTCACTCCAGTCGTGTCTGACTCCATGCGACCCCATAGGTGGCAGCCCACCAGGCTCTGCCGTCCCTGGGATTCTCCAGGCAAGAACACTGGAGTGGGTTGCCATTTCCTTCTCCGATATCTCACTCTAGATACCACAAAATCTTAGGGAGGGACGTTCAAGAGAGAGGGAACGTATGTCTACCCATGGCCAATTCATATCAATATTTGGTAGAAACTGACACAATTCTGTAAAGCAATTATCCTTCAATTTAAAAAATAAGTAAATAAATAAAAAGCAACTCCTTGCAGGCCAAGTCCAAACTTGCTCTGTGTTCTTTTTCCACTCTATTATCCTGGCATGCATGCTTAAGTCATTTCAGTTGTGTCTGACCTTTTGTGACCCTGTGGACTGTAGCCTGCCAGGCTCCTTTGTCCATGGGATTCTCCAGGCAAGAATGAGGGAGAAGTTGCCATGCCCTCCTCCAGGGGATCTTCCCAACCCAGGGATCAAACTCAGGTGTCTTATGTCTCCTGAATTGACAGGTGGGTTCTTTACCCCCAGCGCCACCTTGGAAGGCCCCTGTTATACTGGACAACTAGTTAATACTTGATCCTGCTTCTTAAAAACTGGTAGCATAAGGATGACTGGTGTTAATACACTGCAGGAAAATTTAAAAAGTGACTTCCAAAACCAGTAAGCAATTCAGTTCTTCCAGAAGTCTGGCTCAGTACTGTATCTGGATGTGGTCAGTCCCCCATAAAGACATATTGAATCAATAGCCATTTTAAAGGTTTCTTGTGAAACCAAACAAATAAACCTTACCTGTGGAAGGTGTAGGCCCCAGGACATCATAGTAGGCCATGATCTCAACGGAATGGCTGTGAAGACTTTCAGTACATAAAAAACTGAATCTTAAAGACAGCGGTGTTCTCCTTCCCATTAGTATCCTTAGAAAAGGAGCATGACATTGTATAAATGATTAGAGAAAGAAAAGAGAAACACAAGATGATTTTTGGCCATCCTTCACCTAATTCTAGCTTTGCTGCTCCCTTGCCCTTTCTTGAAAATGCCAGGGGTATTCCCTTCTGTTCCTCTATCTGGACCACAATTAACTCAGATAATTCGCACCGCTGGATCCTGACTTCATTCAGGTCCCTGCTGCCCCAGTTGGCCTTTCCTGGCCATCCTTTAAAACAAGAAGTCCTTCCCTATTCCCTATCTCCTTACTCTGCTTTATGTTTCTTAATAGTATTTAATTACCACTTGGCATTGTATTATTTATTTCTCTTGCATGGGAGTATACGGTGCACAAAGGCAGGAAATGTTTGTGTTGTTCACTGTTCTGTCCCTAGTATCTGACACACAGTAGATGATGAATAATTTTTAAATGAATTATTATCTAAACATGGATTGGGGCATAAGATACTGTTAATTATGAGTATGATTAAATGAAATAAGAGAACTAAACTTCTATTTCTGAGTATAATGGAATAGTGAACAGCCAACAAATGCTCATTGGGAACAACTGGAAAACTGGATTTAAAAAATTATGTGCATGTGTGTTTTAGAGGTACTGGAGGGTTGCTGATGGTCAGGATTTAGTCCCAGGATTTGGACTGGGGTGGCGGATTGTGGAGAGAGGGACTGACAGTCTGCTGTCTTGTTTTCTGGGGACATATGCCGATTTGGGAAATAGACAAGCTGAAAACAAAGACTTTGGACAAGGAGAAGCTTTGGGGGTTCAAGAAACAACTTAGAACTTTGTCAAGCTTATGGGGCTGAAGCAATGCCAAGACTTGGAAATCACAAGCATGATGAGAAGGGAAGGGTGGAGAATTGAACTCAAGATATGACCTGCTTTTCTCTCCAAACATTTGCTGAATTCTGAAGATGCCGGGGACAGGCAAGGTTGTGAAATGAAGCAAAATGTCTCCTTGAAAAGTTGAGTGGAGGTGTAGATACTCTGTCCAGGCTGAGGCAACGTGCATCAGGGCTTAGTCTTGGGGACGTGGAGACAGGTTAGAGGAAAGGACTTGGTGAAGTTATTTGACTGTAATGCTGAGGAACTCAGCTGCATGTTGGAAACAGCTGGAGGTCCTTAAGAAGTATTGATGCCTTGGCTCACCTCCAGATAGTTTTATTCGATGGGCTTGGGGTGCGACCTGGGTGATCAATTCTTATTCTATCCATGTGGTGAGGAAGGGATACACCTCTCTGGAAAAAGAGACCATCAGCTGAAGCATCTAAGATGTTTAATGCCCAGGGCCCTGGTTTTAATCTTTAAATCACTAGAAATGAAATTTCAGATCACTACGAATTATAAGAGACAAGGCTATAAGATGTTAAACTAAGAGGAAAACCAAACTGTAGAAACAGATCCCATAAGTGATCCAAATATTGGCATAAATAGTTGAGGATTTTAACTGAGTAATATGTTCAGTGAATAGAGGAATAGACAGCACAAGGAGGCAAAAGATGATATATTAAAAAATGGAAATTATAGAACTGAAAAAATAATTGAACTTAAGAGATCTGTAGAAAAATTTAACAAAAATTACATATAGCAGAAGAGACTCAGTGACCTGAAAGACAAGCCAAAAGGCATCATCCAAAAAGGAAAAAAAAAAAAAGCATATATAATATCCTTTCATTTACATTGAACAGAGCTTCCTGAAATTTTAAAACCCCTCAGCACTTTTCTCTAAATGTCAAGAACGTGAAGGTGGCTCAAGTAGTAAAGAATCCACCTACCCAAACAGGAGACATAGGAGACGTGAGTTCGATCCCTGGGTCGGGAAGATCCCCTAGAAGAGGAAATGGCAACCCACTCCAGCATTCTTGCCTGGAAAATCCCATGGAGAGAGGAGCCTGGTGGGCTACAGTCCATGGGGTTGCAACGAGTGGGACACAACTGAGCACATACACACACCACCAAAGGAATATGTTAAGTTATTATTATCATGAGTATATTTTTCTCTCTCAGTCAGGAAGGGTGAAAAGGAATTAAACAAACCAGTAGCCTAATACTCCCGTCATAATTTAGAGGCAGATTTTGCTATGCTCAATATAAAAACTCTGTGTTTGGTAGACACGGTCCTATGTGGGTAAAGTGTGCTCTTGTGGGGGCCAGAGGGCTTAAATGAGGTAGTGAATCAACTGGGGAGTTCAGATCACTTTTAGAATGGGTCAAGATTAATGAAAATGTCAGTACTATCCTGGGCTAATTTACTGAAACTTACTATCCAAGAGTATCTCAAAATATTTTCCTATTAGTATCAGTGGAAATGGGACATGGAACACAGCAGTGCTTGGTCATGAGTCCTCAGATGATATATTTGCCACTTCCCACTTCATTTCAGCCTCGTCCATCAACGTGTTTTGTCTTGGCCATGTCTTGTCAGGACAGCTCTGTCCTGTCATGTGGCTTTAAAAGGATCATGTAGGAAAGGGTCTTAAGTTATCTGACCTGATAATATAAAGAGAGCTTCTTGTTTTTCTAAGATCTCTAAACCAAAGCAATTAGAAATAAGAGCTAATGGGCAGGAAATCCCAATCACAAACATAACTTACAAGTTATAGACATGATGCCTTTTTTACAGCAGTGTCTCATTAAAACCTCAGAATATGTTTCCCCGTTGTGGTTTTCAATAATAAACACCAGTGTGTGCAGAGAGGAGCCCAGTGCCTCTGGCGCATAAACGATTTCTAGTACCTTGGGCTTACGGGGCAAGTCTCCTGAGGTTTCATTCATAAGCAGCATCCAGAAAATGACTGACATAGAACAGTTGCTGTTACTGGTAGGTTAAGACATGGACTAGTTCCAAAGGACAAGAAAGGCTTTTCTCACACTCATCTTTCAAAATAAAGTAACTGAATAGCTTTAAAAAATAACAGCAACAAACAATATATCACCAAAAACCAGGTATCAACTGAAACAATAAACGTTTTTACTCTCTCAGTGGGTGGGAGTCAAAACCAACTGTCAGACTCACATATCTGCTTCTTTTCCATTTTTAATTCAATTTGCCCTTCAAGTGAGTCACAGTATGGTCTTGGTTGCTCTGAAAAGCAGAGAATAAAGCCAGAAAAAGCGACTGCTGCATACAGATATTAGTACAAGGGAACACCCTGGACAATCTACCTCTTTCCTGACTTCACAATCCTTTCCACTCAGTCTGCCTTCAAGTCTCATTCTTCCTGCAAATATGCTCCCCCCTCCCCTTTTTTTTTTTTGCCAGAATTGTTCAGCAAAACAAAATAGGGGGTAAGGTATATTCCAGGCTGAATTAAAACCATCATAGCCCCTTGAAAAACCACTCTGAGAAAAAGAATAGGCATTTAATAAATGCGAAGGAAAGAATGGTGGTTACCTGGGAATTCGGTTCAACTTTAAAGGCTTTTCAATTAAATTATTTAATGAGTTGAAAGCATAGAAGGAACAGAGCTTAGACAATGAGCTTGCTTGTTTTCAGGAACAATTAGAGCAACTAAATGAAGGTTTTCAGAGCTGCTCTTTTTCATGGGTTCTACTTCAAAATTCATTCTAGAAATCCAACAAAATAAAAGCTTCAAGCATATTTTGTCCAGGAGAAGGGTGCCTGCCTGAGATCCAGAGGAGAGGAAAAGGAATCAGGGAGAGCTCATCAATTAGGGTCTTTGATGCTGAGTGGGCAGGGAGTATAGAATTAGGACATAACAATGAAGGACAAAGATTTTGATTCCAAATAAGGTCACCAGGGAAAGGGTACACCCCAACTCTTATTTTTAATGTGCCTTAAGAGTACTTTAACTGTCCTGTTTTGATAAATAATAACAATGATATAATGTAACCTATAGTTTACAAATTTAATGGGGAAAACTTGGAAGAAGCAATGGGTAAAAATGAAAAACACATTCTCCTATTTCTTCTTCTTTTTTTTTTCTTTTCTTAAAGGTGGTCTTTCCCTGCTCAAAATGTAATCGTATGTGAAACTCCATCATTTCCCTTTTTGCCTTTCCAACCCCAGCGTGCTTCATTATAGTCACCATCATGCCATTCATCTGACGTCTTTGCTAACTACCACAATTTAGTAGGTGTTTGGTATTCCTAAAGGTAGTGTTTTTCATTAAAAGACACATTCAAACTAGTTCTCTATACTAATTTGAAGCAAGGGCTTGGTAATGAATCTATTATTTAAATTAATAAACAGTTCTGGGACGTTGTTTTAAAACATGGATCTTATTTTAGGATTGAAGTGGCACACAGCCTGGTCTATTTTTCTCCCCCCAAAATGTTTTACTCACTTTACAACATAGTTTTTTGCATTTTTTTCATCCACAATTCATTAGACTGAATAAAATAGCAGAAAATATAAAATTAAAATAGAAAAATAAATAGCAACATCTCAAGGTTTTTTCTTTCTTTTTTTCTTTTTGTAACTCAACAAAAGAAAAAAAAAAAAGTTCTGACTAGCTGGCTAATTCAACACACTGAGGGCAAAGAAAGCTTGCATGTAATGTCAGCAAAGCCACTTCAGCAAACAACCCCAGGACATTGCTGAAGGGAATGTTTATCAGACAAATGTGTCTCCAAAGATTCTTGGAGGCACCTTTCTCAGTCCTTCCGGTTTGCATTCCTCAGGGTCAGATTTCAGCTAAGTGATGGAAATTGAATAAAGGTGCATTGGAGAAGATATAATTAGTCCTTAAATCATAGGATCTCAAATTCATGAATTTCCTTGAAAGTTTAGCAGAGAAGTCTTTTTTTTTTTTTTAAAGCCTTTGGGGCAATCTCTCCAAGTTTTCTCCCAAGAATTTAATGTTCACTTATGCAAGTAACATTACTCAATAATGGTCTCCAGTGCTAAGAGTTTCCTCTGGCAGTCTTTTTCACCTTTGAAATGAGGAATTCACAGAAATGCATTCACCCAGACCTGTTTCCATATGCAGTTCGCTTCAAGTTCTCTCTCAGAGTCTCCAACCCGTCTCTCAGTTGTTTCTTGAAGTGGTTCACATCGGCAGATGCCTTGCTGAGCAGCACGATGTCAATCTCCGAGGATCCTTGGGTGTCGGTCCCTTTCACGTAAGAACCACCCTATGAAGACAAGGGGCACTATGCGGGGTGGGGAATAGCTCAGCTAACCTTGAGGGAAGTGCAGATTTCTGGCTGTAGCCTTTTTTAGGGTCAATTAACACTGTGAATAGTTTAAATAGGTGCTACTTTATCTTCCCTCACCTTGGGGGAAAAAAAAAAGACAGGAGAAGTCATTTACCATGATCTGCTGAGACCATGGTAGATGCTTCACAACTGAACTTAGATTCAGTTATGGGAAGAAAGCAGAATTTGCAGAAAAAGTCTGAAAATCCTCATGAAGAAATGAGCTAGAAGTTCTCAGACTTTCTGCTTGAGAGACACTCAATCGTGAGGAGTACACAAAGGTGGGAATTATATCCACCGCTAGTATATGTGGTACCTAGGTGCCCTGAAACAAACCGGTCCTGCCAGTTAGAACCTTAAGTGACTGGTGCTTCTGGAGGGCGTCTGTTTGCTGCATTTCTAAATAGATCACCAATGAGTTTCATAAAGTATTCTGTCATTATAATTAATGTGTACTTATTGCAAATCTCTTAACTAAATATAATTTTATAAAAGTCAAAACTTAAATTAGTTAGCAGCACAGCCTTGCTCTACTTAGCACTCAAGGACAACTTGAGGGTGCAAGTTCCCAAAGGAAGCTCTTTAGCAGTAAAAGAAGCTGTTACCTATGATTTGGGAAGCATTACGTCCACAAGGGAAAAGCAACCTGTCAACAGACTGTCACAACACAATTTCTCAAGAAGTTTAGAAAACACTCTAAAGCTCTGAGTCCTCTGCCATTTATTGTATGTTAACTTTTTAAGGATTGCCAACAGCCCGTTCAGTCATGCACCGTGTGGCTCGCTCAAGCAAGCAGCAATATGCCAGTTTTATTCTTGGCACCGGCCTAGCCAACCTTTCTTTTGGAGTATAACTGCTTTCCAATGTTGTGCTGATTTCTGCAGTACGATGAAGTGAGTCTGCCATTTGTATACACATCCCCCCTCCCTCATCGGCCCCCCTCCCACCACCCCCTCCACCCGCGGAGGTCATCACAGAGCCCTGAGCTCTGTGCCATAGAGCCTGTCCTGAGAGCTGCCCTGGCAACTGCTGACTCCAGGATTCTGTGCCTTAGTTGACATCTAAGAATCAAGAAGCTGCCTCTGCAATCCCAGATATGCCTGCCTTACTATAAATCCGGAGACAGAAGTCATTGCCAGAACTCTCGGCTTCAAAGTCAGCCTGTACCTGCTACATCTGGACTAGCTAAAATGGGTCCGCTGTGCCTCCTGCCTTTACTCTGACTTAACTCAGCTCTGGACTCAGTCTTTAGGTAGTGCAACTAATTGAGGAAACCCATCTTGTCACAGTAGCAAGGGAATGTGCGAAATGTAGTTTTTAGTGCTTCCTTAACCAGAGATTGTAGTGTGCTAACATGTATAGTCAATTTCCAAGAATGGAATATAGGGCACAGCAATTCTTAGTTGATCACTTGCCCTTGTTTTCAGCCAGCACCTTGTGGGACTGGAATAGAACTCTGACTCCCCATTTCTAGCTCTGTGATCATGCTTTATTTCTATAGGAGAAAATATGCTGTTTCATATTCAGGCTTTTTCCACTGCTATCTTAGGTAGCATTTAATCATACTCTTAAATCATCTTTGCTATTGTGACATTAAAAGTTAATATTTTTATTTTAAATAAACAAGCCTTAAAGATACTTTTATAACAATTATGTGTGCATTTTAAAGAAGAAATGGAAAAATGATTAAAAAAAATGCCCTCAGAACTATGTCCTGTATTGTTTTTTTCTCTAAACACTGATTACAGAGTATGTAGTGGTGATACTAACATTATGAGCAATAATGATAGAAGGGAAACCACACCAGCATTGTTGTTTGGATCCCTTCATTGTGTTCAGGATACTTTCCTTCAAGGCAGTTTTCACAGAATGACCCTGCATTCTCTGGACAACTGTTTCGGGACACAGTGAACTGTCTTTAGGCTGAGAGGAAGTCCATCAAGACAGCACCTAATTACTTCCATAGGCAGGTTGCTCAGGCATGAAACCGTGCTCTGGGGGACAGGCGTACCTCCTTTGCCTGAAATTCCCTCAAGCATTTAAAAACATCGGTCTAGTGAGAGCCAAGTCCTTGGCCCTGCCAATGTAAAGGCACTTTTGCCCCTTGGGCAAAAACTGCCAACTTTAATGGGTTCCAGCTGTCACATGGTTGAGTGCCTGCCCCGCTAGCCGGCAGCCTGCCCTGGCATTTCAAAGGGCTCCTAGCAGGCCTCTTATAGCCGCTACAGAAGGTGAAGATGGCCCTGCCCAATGGATGTCCATCACCTCCAGGAGAAAGGAAGGGCTTCCTTAGGGCAGCGTGGTCCACCCAAGGGCTGGGGGCTCAGATTACCTGGATCACTCGGGAGGCCGGCACTGGAAAGGAATCCTGGATCAGCTGGAGCAGGGCACCGACCTCAGCTGCACAGGCAGCTCTTTGAGAACCAGAGGCAGGGCAGATGTGTCGGTCTGCAAATCTCCGTAGCTCTTGGGGACCTTTACACTCCAACATATTATGAGGTGAAAATCCTGCGGACATTTGGGCTTCATAGAGAAAGGATCACTATTTGACATTCGCTGCACAGAAATGGATGCGTGTGTGTCTAACACAAGCATCTAATTTTGTATGCAAGTTAGGTCTAGTTAATTACCAGGACAGCCTTGTTGGGTCACAGGGAGTCCTACCCTCTCTGCTGGTAGGGTGTGAGGGGAACCGGCAGAGTTCACTCCCTCTGGAATGAGCTGGCATGTTAACCCTAAGTCTCAACAGAGAAGTGGCTGAATTTCTCTGAGAATACATTGAGATATCCATTCTTATGTCAGGAAAAGGTCTTTGCCCCGATTCATAAATCACTTTAAGTTTCTAAATGGAAAACATGTATGTTATCAAGTTTTAATAAAATGGTCCCAGGATAAAGAACTCTAAGTTAAGCCATCTATTCTAAAGGTCTTAAACTGCCAGCCCACAGGCCAAATTCTACCTACGGAATGTTTGCTTTAGACCTGCGCAGTGTTTTCAAAATGAAGAAACTGAGTCAGTATCTAGAAATCAAGAGATAGTACATTTTTAAAAATGAGGACATTAGAGGTGTGTGTGCTAGTGGATGTGTGTGTTTGCGTTTTAAGACAGAAATGCTGACAAGACTGGCCACACACTTCAGGGGAAGGAACTGAATAACTGAACTCTTAAGTTCAGTAAATGGGGCATGTGAAGCTAAACTGACAATAAGACTGATTAACCAGAGGAAAAGCATACAGATTTTATTGATCTTATTATTATTATTTTTCTTATATGCACAGAGTCCTTTCCAGAAAAGAAATGAAAACTACAAAGAATTAGACTCGGGTATTCTGAAGCTCCGATATTTTGGCCACCTTATGGACCCCAGCTCATTGGAAAAGACCCTGACGCTGGGAAGTTCAAAATAATCAATATGCTGAATTGGCACATTTTGAGATGGCATATCCTGATCCCTTTCAACAGCTCAGAAAATTCCACAAATTTGCAGTCGGTAGATCATAGTGTGTGCGTGCTCAGTCGTGACTGACTCTTCACGACCCCATGGACTGTAGTCCGCCAGGCTCCTCTGTCCACGGAATTTTCCAGGCAAGAATACTGGAGTGGGTTGCCATTTCCTCCTCCAGGGGATCTTCCCAATTGAGGGTTTGGACCCGCATCTCCTGTGTCTCCTGCATTGGCAGGTAGATTCTTTACTGCTTACGACATCAGGATAGATCATACATACACCAAAGAAAATTAGCCTCCAACTAATAAAAATAAATGAAAAAAAAAAGAAAAAAAATAAAACATGAAAAAATAAATAAATAAAATTCTGAAAAAAAAAAAGAAAAAAAATCTCTGAGAATTTGCAATAATAAACTGACTTTCATTTAGGTTTACATAACAAATTCATGTTATCATGGAGAATTAATTTTAGAGAAAGTGAAAGTGAAGTCGCTCAGTCGTGTCTGACTCTTTGCAACCCCATGGACTGTAGCCTACCAGGCTCCTCCGTCCATGGGATTTTCTAGGCAAGGGTACTGAAGTGGGTTGCCATTTCTTTCTCCAGGGGATCTTCCTGACCCAGGGATTGAACCTAGGTCTCCCACATTGCAGGCAGAGGCTTTTCCGTCTAATCCACCAGGGAAGCTAGGCCTCTGGCAGATGCCTTGAAGAAGAATTCACTAATCCTTTCTGGAAATGAACTTTCAACTGATCCTTCCCTTTCAAGCACATATGAAAGTTTCACAGAAATTGAATATATACTTAGCAATAGATAAAACTCAACACTTATCAGAGAACTGATATCACACAGATTATATTCTCTGACCAATGTGCAATTAAATGAGAAATCAGTAACAAAATAACGAACATATCCATACTTTAAGAAAATTTTAAAAACACTTACTTCAAAAGAGTCACAGATCACAGAAGAAATCACACTGTAAATCAGAACATGGCACTAAACAATAATAAATTTTACATCAACACTCAAAGGATACACAGCCTCTTGTTTAAATTTCATCAATTATGCCAGATTAACAGATTGGGGTTTTTTTTGTTTTTGTACATTTTGATTAACTTTGCTTGAAACATAGTTATCATTCCTTTTATGGACATTTCACCAAAAACTGATCACTTTTCAGTGACTATTTTATATTCAGAGCCAATTATTGTTTCCCAGAAAAAAATTATTTAATTCCAGCAACCACCAATTACTTTAGGGGACAGAACCACAAATATGAGAGCAAAAGGTATATTACCTTAGTTTTGTGATAATTTCTAATGGACAGACCATAATCTGACTCCCACTTGTATCCTGACATTCTATCCCATTTTTGCTGCTTCTGAGTTGTCTCTTTGCACCACGTCTCAGTTTCCCAGCTTCCTCCTCCAATGTGGCTCCACAGAATTTTCCCCCACTGCCAAGAGTATGAGCTTCCCAGGTGGCGCTAGTGGTAAAGAACCTGCCTGCTAATGCAGGAGACCTAAGAGACATAGGTTCAACCCCTGCATCAGGAAGATCCCTGGGAGGAGGGAATGGCAACCCACTCCAGTATTCTTGCCTGAAGAATCCTGTGAACAGAGGAGCCTGGCAGTCTACAGTCCTTAGGGTCACAGAGTCGGACACGACTGCAGTGACTTAGCACACATACACGCCCCAAGAGTATACAATCTCAAATATATACTAGCTCCGCCCTCTGCGCTATTTGCCATTCTTGCAAACAACCTGTAATGCTCTGATGTAGGGAAGCCACAAGACGGTTTCTATGCTGCGTGAACATCCATACAGCGAAAGCACCGGGCACCTCCGTTACCTCTTTTGCAGGCTGTAAAGTGATGCTCTCGTATTTCGTGGTTCTCCCGGCTAAGGACTGTTCCAAAGTGTCTAGAACACATCCTACATGTTTTTGATATTTTTGTAGCCATGTATTTTACGTTCCTTTCTTCTAGATTTTCCCAGTGTAGCTTGTGTGTCTCCATGGTTGACCTGTCACGTGTAGGCTGAGAAAAAGTAAATACTTAACCCAGGAATTATAAGAGCTATTTCAGAGATCTGCTGGTTTTCATTTGGCTGGCTTCTCACTAAATGCTCCCATTCATGGGCACAGAGAATTCTCATTCTATGTTCTGAAAACATAGCAAAGTCCATTAGTTTGGGTTGTTTTTTTTTTTTTGACACAGATGGAAAACTGCTGTAGATTAATAAAGCAATGAACCATGAGAACCATACTGCTGAAAAAAGTATTTTTTAAAAAGCACTAGTTTATGTTTTATACAATCAGAAGAATGAGAGCCCAGTTCTTTTTCTGGTGTTTACTTTTGCAGGCCTTGGGCTAATCACTCAACCTAATTGGGTCTTTGATCCTTCATTTGTAAAATGGGGGAGGGGAAAGGAGGGAAGGGAAGTCAATTAGTCTACCTCCAAGGCCACATTAAAAGTGAAAAATTCTAGGGTTGCAAGGACTCCACCCCCACATAAGCGCTTTGGAATAATAATTACAATAGCGCCTGCCCTGGGTATAATGGCTGGGCCCAGGGAATTCTGAGTGCTCTTCACAGCAGCTCTGCAAGACGAGGCTGAGAAGACTGAGGCGCACAGCTTTAACCCCTGCATCTGAGCTGTGGCCTGTGGCCATGAGTTTTACCTTTCAGTTTTCTGAGTAAATCTTCATGAGCGAATGAAAAAAACAAAGGCATCAGACACAAAGGGTGAGCATTTCAGGAAAAGGAGGAGGTCCTTGCCTGCCACCCCCCACTTTCACCCCCTGCACCTCACTGTGACCTTGCTGCGTCTCCCTCAGGACGTCTTGGTCACATTTTTCATGGTGAACTTCTCCAAGATGCTTCTGTTGAAAGTGATACTTCAGAGCCCTGCCGCTGATAAAGTCACTCCCGCAGTGCTCACAGTTGTAGGATTTAAGAGCCCACATCCTTGCCCAGCGAAGTATGGCATTTAGATCCTGTTGACGACAAAGCAAAAAGGTAAGCCCTTTGAAGAAAATCCAGTCGCTCAGAGTTAACCAGAAGAGAGATAATATTGTTTCTAGTGTGCTAATTTGTGCTCTATCAGATGCAAGTTTTCCAAGAAGTTTATTCCTCACTGATATCAAATATGATATCATGAAAATAGTCATTTAAACCAGCTGCTGGAACTCGAGTTGATAAACATCAAGGAGGCTGTAAAGCCACCAAAACCAAGTGCAAAGCTGTGTGTGTAGGTATATAAGTACAGTTTTTGAAAAAGAGTTACAAATGAATCTGTGACCTAAGAGATGTTAACTGTGGATTTAGATATTATCTTTACTCAGGGACTCTCTAAGAGGCGTCGTTTCTTCCATTTTTATCACTCAATGAGTTCCCATAAATGAGAAAATTACCTTGAGTGATGATTTCTACATGTCTTTCAAATTAACTCTGTTCTTTTTTAAACTAAAGAAATGCCAAAGTTTGTACCAAGGGACACAGTCTGGAAGATGTGGGCGATTCTATGCTCCACCGGGCTGCTTCTGAAGCTGTTTATACTCTTGTTGCTAAGTGACTCGACTTGGATTTGTACTAACTTGTCTGAAGCTTAGAGCTCCTTCCTCAGAGGTAAGCATTGTGGGATTTGTAGTCACCGGTTTCTTAGCGAGTGGTTAGATTAAATATTTCTAAGTGCACTCAGATTATTTTGAAGCTGCTACTGTAAAAATATTATCACAAATTCTAATGGCTTAAGCATATAACATTACTTGCTTGTCGTGCCATAGGCCAGAAGCCTGACATGGGTCACGCAGGGCTAAAATGAGGCTGCATTCCTTTCCGGAGGCTCTTGGGTAAGATCCACTTCCTAGAGGTGACCCACATTCCTTGGCAGGTGGGGCCCCTTCCTCCATCTTCAAAGCCAGCAAAATCCAGGAAAAGCCGATGGGATCCTGTTTACATCCAACCATTCTGATCGGTTCTCTTCCCCTCTTAAGGACCCTTGTGGCTCCATTGGGCTCAACTGGATAATCCAGGATAATCTTCCCATCTTAAGGTCTGCTATTAACAGCCTTAATGCTATCTGCAAACTTAACTCTCCTTTGCCTTGTAAGGTAATAAACTCAGAGCTTCCCGAGATTAAGATGTGGACATCTTTGGCGGGGGGCGGGCATTCTTTTTTACCCACCACACTGTAGCTCTAAAGTTCAATCAGGAATAGAAACAAATCCAAAATGTATCTGTATAAGGTGGAAGAAAAGCAAAATGTATTCACTCCTTACAAAATCTTTGGTGCTTAATGGGTTTGGGGGACTTTGTGTCAAACAAATTTGGAGTTGCTGGGTGATCTGCTACTGAACAGATGCTGTTTCCACTGAGAACTGCACGGGTCCTGTCACATAAGGAAGATGTGAAAGCAACTTAGTGGTTCATGGCAGCACTTTAAAAAATCAAATAGAATATAACTAGAGAATATTGAACATAGTGAAGGTAAACAACGATTTGTGAAACATCCTTGGGCGACCAACCACCAAGTTTGCCTGGGAGTAAGGGGGGGTCCCTGTTACGCAGGATTTTCAGTGCTAAAGTCAGGAAATTCTCAGGCAAGTTGGGACACGTTGGTTACTCTATCACTACCTCAGAGACCACCTTGAAAATCACCTTCTTATCAGCCCTAAAGCTCCTCTGAATGAATGGATCGAGTCCCTGTAAGATCCAAGGTCGTGGAATTTGCAGAACTTGATTCGATCTGCCCAAATTGTGATATTTGCCCTGCACTAGGTATTCATTTCTTGTCCAATCAACCTGGACTGAGATACAGTGAGCGCAGGCAGACACTTGACTCAATCTAATGTGCCAGGTTCTCTAAGGGGTGCTAAGGCAACGTTGGGCACTTGTGGTTTACAGAAATGAAAGTGTATCAATCAGAGCGGCCCAGCACAAGCTTTCTGTCCAGGATCAGAAGAGGGAAACAATGAGGAAAATGGTGGAATTGCTAGGTTTCCTCAATGAGCTGTCTCTCCACCCTTCTTTCACTTAGCATAATGTTTCCAAGGTTCACCCATGTTGTAACAGGCACCAGTATTTCATTCATTTTCACAGACAAATACTACTCTATTGTATGGATATACCACTAGTTCTGTTTTGTTTTTTAATCCACAAATTAGTTAATGGAAATCTGGGTGGTTTCTGCTCTTCAGCTATTATGAATAATACTGCTATGAACATTCATGTTTTCATCTACAGGTTATTGTATGAACATATGTTTTGAATTCTCAGATAGCTGAGGGTGAAATTGCTAAGTCCCAGGATAACTCTATGTTGAACTCTTTGAGGAACAGCCAAACTGTTCTCCATATTTTACAAATTACAATTATGAAGTGGTATCTAACTGTGTTCTGATTTGCATTTCCTAATGACTAATGCTGCTGAATGTCTTGTCATGTACTTATTGACTATTTGTATATTTTCCTCAGAGAAATTTATATACTTTGCTCATTTTAGAATGGGATTATTTGTCTTTCTATTGTTGAACTGTATGCATTCTTTATATTTTGAAAATCAAACTCTTATCTGATATATGATTTGAAAATTTTGTGCCATTCTGCAGCTTGTCCCTTCATTTCTTGATAGTGTCCTTTGATGCACAAAAGTTTTAAATTCTGGGACTTCCCTGTTGGTCCAAAGTGGCAAGACCCTGAGCTCCCAATGCAGGTGACCCGAGTTCCATCCCTGCACAGGGAACTAGATCCCACCTGCCATAACTAAGAGCTTGCATGCTGCAACTAATAAGGTCCCACATGCTGCAAACTAAGACCTGGTGCAGTCAAATATATATATATATATTTTTTATGTTTTAAATTCTTACGAACTCAAAGCTATTTTTCCTGCTTGTGCTTTTGGTGTGATACAGCGGTGGGGGCGGGGGGGACCGTTGCCTATGCCAAGGGAAACCATGGGTAACCAGTCAAATTCCTCTCACCTGCCCTACCTAATCAAGGTCGCCTTCCCCTCATAGTTCAGTTGGTAAAGAATTCCGCCTGCAATGCAGGAGACCCTGGTTGGATCCCCGGGTTGGGAAGATCCCCTGGGAAGGGAAAAGACTACCCACTCCAATATTCTGGCCTGAAGAATTTCAGGGACTATACAGTCCATGGGGGTCGCAAAGAGATGGACACGACTGAGTGAAGTGAAGTGTCTTCACAAAAGACTTGATTGTCCTCCAAGCAATAGGTAGCCTAAGCAATACGTTGTTTGCCTGAGTTATTTTCCAGAAACTTGAAGTCAGTTGTATCTAGTTGGAGGTGAGCTGGTTAAGACCGAACAGCACAATCCATCCTCCAACTGGGAATGCACAAGTGTGCATCTTAGTGACCTTGTGTGTGTGTGTGGTTTTTTTGCTCAGTGACCTTTCGATGAGCTTCAGATCCTGTTAAGCACTCCCATCTCTGAACCAAGCAGGAGACCCTATAACCTAGTTACGCCTGCGCAGAACTACACCGGTGGAGAGCTACGCCTGCGCCCAACTATAACCACCGGTCTTTTTCCAATCACTTTCTCCGTTCTGTGCACCCCAATGCCTCAGAGCTCCCCTCAGACCGCTGTTTATTCCCACAGTACTGCCTCTTGCCTTCCAGGGAGCACAGTTTGAGGTTTGCTTTTCAGTCTTACTTAGCTGCCTTGCAAATAAATACTCTGCTGCGAACTGAAGAGACAGCACGCAAGCACTGTGCTTCGGCGTTTTGCTGTGGTGTGTGTTGACAGAACAAGATAGTACCTGGTGCAGTGACAGGTTTGGTGAGCCAGCCAGGAGGTAAGTCCAGACATGCCTTTCCTCCCTGGCTCCTTGGCCCCTTGAGAGTTATTGAGAGTCCAAGCAACTACCTGGTCGATTTGTTCCAGCAAGCGTCCGCCTGATTTCCCCAGACAGGTGCCGCCAACCTTCAGAATTTAGCTGTTTTTTGCAGTGAAGAAGTGGTTTTGGAGCTTGGGGGTTGGAAGACCTGTTTTGGGTGAGTAATCTTGTTAAAGAGACACACCTGTGCCTTCACGTCTGGCAGTCCTGCCCAGATGGTGGATTGGAGGCCCACCTTGCAGGATTCTGACAGACAGTATAAAAGTTTACAGCTGCTGAAGCGTTCCACATCCAGGTTAAAGGCCCAGGGCTGTGATTTTTGATCTTTCTTTTCTTCTCTGTGTCCAATTGTCCGAAGTGTTATGGATTGACTTTTGGAGATTGAGCTTCTTGATGACTGTAACATGTACTCTAAGAAAGATTTCTTTGCAGCAACCATCTAGAAACAAAATGAGATTTTTTTTCCCCCATTGCAAAATGAGAAACGCTAATTCAGTTCCCCCTTGCAGCCCTCTAGGCCACGTTCTCCAAAATTGGATGACTTTAAGTTTCAATCTATGGAAAAGAAAGAGATGGTGTTTTTTGATATCCTTGCATAGTGCAAACATCCTTTAGACTCAGAGAAAAATGGCCTTCAATTATAGTACAACTCTGCAACTGGATTTATTTTGGAAACAGGAAGAAAAATGGAAAGGAATGCCTTATGTATAGTCTTTTATCAGAATCAACCTGCACAAAGAATATGGAAAGTTATGGTCCAGCAGAATGGGAAGTGGAAGAAACCTGTTCTCCTTGATTCTAATGCACAGTTGGCTGACAGCAGTGATGCGCTTTCATTGCCTCCTCCTGACCCTGCTCCCAATGCCCACCGCCCCTTCTCTGAAGCCTCAGAGAAATAGGAATGCTATCTTTCTGTCAACCCTGCCAGGAGTTTGCCTGGGCTCTGGTTTTTAGATAGCACATACATGATAATATACAGTATTTGCCTTTCTCTTACTTATTTCACTAAGGATAATACTCTGTAGGCTCATCTTGTTGGAAATGGTAGAATTTCATTCTTTTTTATGGCTCAGTAATATTCCATTGTGTGTATATGTATGTCATATGTGTGTG